ATCTAAAGGGCAGCCCTGCCAGGGGGCAGAACACCACCTTCATTTACACATCAGGGACAGGAAGTTTCAGGCGCTGAAATCATTCAGAGCTAGAAAGTAGCAGGGCTGAGATTCAATCTCCGATCTGTGAGTCCCATGGGCCCATCAGCCAGGATTCCACATCTCCAGGGATCAAGGCCAGCAACCCAGGATAGAGCCAGGCCCTGGAAGTGCCTCGGCCTGATACCTCATGGCCTTGAAGGACCCCATGGATTCGGAGTCCCCTCATTCCCCGCACTCCATGACATCCATGAATGTCCCCAACTCAGGTGAAGGGAGCAGGATTGGCATGAAGTGCCCACGGGACCAGCAGTGGTCCTACCCTTGGTTCTAACTAGGACACGTGGTGACTGGGCTGCGGCTGGAACACAGGAATCCAGGGCTAACACTAGCACTGACCTGGTCATTTATTGGCTGTTACTGGGCACTGAGTTATACTCTTTATGTGTGTGTGTGTGTGGGGGGGGCTAGGTAGGGGACTAGGGCCACAGCCAGTACTGCTCCCAGTACTGCTCAGGTGTTACTCCTGGTTCTGTGCCCAGAGATCACTCCTGGCGGTGCTCAGGGGTGACCAGGATTGCACCCAGGTCAGCCACGTGCAAGGCAGGCGTCCTACCCACCGTACTGGCTCGGGCCTAATGGCTCTACTAGGGGGCTCGGCCAGACGCTCATTTCCGAGGTGGGAGCACTGTAGCACTGTCCTCCCGTTGTTCATCGATTTGTTCGAGCAGGTCCAGTAACATCTCCATCGTGAGACTTCTTGCTACTGTGTTTGGCATATCGAATAGGTCACGGGTACCTTGCCAGGCTTTGCCCTGGGGGCAAGATACTCTCAGCAGCTTGCCGGGCTCTCCCAGAGGGGCGGAGGAATCGAACTCGGGGCCACCTGCAAGGCAAATGCTATCCCTGCTGTGCTACCGCTCCAGCCCCGAGGTGGGGAAAAAAGAGTCAAAAGAGGAAGGAAAGTTTCGCAGGGGCCTAGTCCTGGGGAGAGCACGTGACCTGGTCAAGCCCAGTGGTATTGAGATGGGGGGGCGGGAATATGAGCACATGATCTGGCCCTGACCAATGGAGTGTTAAGGGGGTACCGGTTGTGTGAGCACCTGACCTGGTCCTGACCAATGGGGTACTAAGTGGACAAGGGCGCCCCTCTCAGGGCACGAGCAGAATGCAGGTGAGCTGCTGGGCGTTGGTGCTGGGACAGGAAGCTTCACACCTGGCCACCAGCCCACCTGCAAGAGTTTGAAGACAAGGAAAGAATCTAGCATCCTGAGCGTGTCTCTGAGCCCTTCGCCTGCAACCAGCTTCCTTGGAAACTCCTGCCAGCCGGATGGTGGTTCTTCCTCCTCCTGAAAGCCCCCGTGGCCTGCAGCCCAGAGTGGACGGCGGCCTGCTGGGAGGAGGCTTCTGGGACACAGCGGTGATCAGGTGCCGCCCCTCCTGGCCGGGCCCCCTCAACTGGTCCACTGGGAAATCAGGCAATGAACTCGGGGACGTTTCAGGGAGCGGAGACTCCCGGCCCGGCCAAACCCGTCCCTTCTCTTCCTGAGCTCGCGGAGAACGAGGAAGCCCGGCTGTGGCCCCTCCACCCCGCCCTCCGTCGGGGCTGACCCCAGCCTCCCGGCAAGAATCAATCACATGGTCTTTCGCTAATGGATTTTGATTTTCACTCCCCTAACAGCAAAGGCTCGGGGCCTGCGCTTGGGTTTTTTCTCTGTTGCCAGAACAGCCCATCAATTATTCACAGCACAGCTCAGCCTCCTGCCTGCCCTGGGAAGGGAGAGTGTGCAGCACCCAGCGACCCGGCTCGGGGCAGGACGCACCCCGCTTGGCGCCTCAGGCTAAGCCCCTCTTATACCGGAGCATAAACGTTGGCCCAAGATGTTGACAGATGTGATTTCCCGGTGACCCTGCAAAGACGCCCTTAAATCTGCTGGCCTCTGGGCAGACACTGACAAGTTGGGCCTGGACCCAGGTCAGCCCCACGGCCCATTTATCTATGAATTCTGTGGGTGCTGAGGCCTCCAAGCTGGGCGAAGAGTGGGCACAGCCAGAGCCCAAGGGTCCAGGGGAAGGAGTGACCTCTACAAGCCCTGGGCCACAGTGCTGTCCACTGCTGGCCTGGGCCTCCTTGGAGACAGGCGCCATGACGGGCACTGGGGACAGAGAGGGGAATGCGGGCAGGGCTCACTTCCCTCCCGTGGGGGAGGAGCAAATGTCATTTCAGATGGCATTTCTCTTCTCCACAGGGGAAGGCAGGGCACAAGGTATGGAGAATAAGGGAAGGCTGTTCTAGACAGGGGCCAGCAAGATCCTTCTAGAAGAGGCTCTCGGTAGCCAGGAAGAGGAACAGCCAGGCCGTGTGGGCAAGAGTAGTCTGGGTGACAGAACAGCAAGCACAAAGGTCCTGAGGTAGGATTAAGCCTGACGGTTTAGGAAACAGTCAGAAGGCAGCCAAGCTGGAGCTGGGGGACCCAGAGCAGAGGCCCGAGAGGTCAGGAGAGCTGGATTTACCAGGATCTGGCTTGCCCTGGGGGAAACGCTGGCGTTTTATTCTCTGTGACGAGAGAGAAGCCACTGGAGGATTTTAAGACGTGATCCCACCCATCTGCAGTTTGAAAGGCTCATGCTGGCTGCTGTGTGGGCAAGGAGGGCAGGGGCACAGGTGGGAGCAGGCTCCCGGGGGACGGGGAGACTTCAGATTCCCCCGAGTTTGGCTTTCCTGTTCCTGTCGGCTGCTGTGTGACCTTAGGCAACTTACTTAACCTCTCGGAGCCCTCCCCATCTGCGAGGAAGGTGGACAGCAACCAAGTGGGCGAGCTCTCCTTGACCCAAAGCTGCTGGGGGATCCAGGGCAGCGAGCGTCTCTCTAGGGGGCCCAGGAGCCTCCCCCCTCCCCGCGCCAACCTCCGGCTGCCACCTCGCCGGCACTGTCCATCTGTCAGGGCTGTGAGTCTGCAGCCAGAGCTGGGATCACGGAGCGGTCACGGAGCGCCTCCCTGCCAGTGGATTAGCCCAGGGGAGAGAGGAAGTTGTTTATTCCCCAGAAGTGCCTTTCTTGAGCCTGAGCTGCACTCGGGCTGCCAGATGCCAACCCAAACACGGCCCTTCGTCTGCGTCTTCTCCAGGAGGGGGACCTGCCCCCTCCCAGCCCTGGACTCTCTCTCGGATCTCAGGCAGCAGACAGCGGGGGAGAGAGAGAGACCCGCCTGGATCCAAGTGGGGGAGGGGGGCTGGGGGGGGGAGGGACCCGTGTCAGGCCTGGAAATAGCAAAGTAAGTCTGTTGAGCCTCTAAGCGGGTTAGGGGTGAACAGCTCCGTCTTGAGAGACTCTCTGTAGGTGCAAACCCGGGCAGGATTCTGACCGGAAGCGACTCACAGTCTCAGAAAAAAAAAAAAAGGAAACCAGGCCCACGAATCTCTGAGTTCTCTCTAGGGTTGACAGGGAAGGGAGGAAACGTCTTCCTTCCTCCTGCCAGCCCCCATTTCTGCACCCCTGCCCCAGGAACCTCTCCTTGGGCTGCCGGACATGGGGAAAGGGGCCCCTGGCCCCTTTCAGACCCTGTCCTGCAGGAGGATCCTCAGCCAGGGGCTTCCCAGGTCACCAGGCTTCCTAAAAGAGAGGCGGGTGGGGGGCTGGAGCGATAGCACAGCGGGGAGGGCGTTTGCCTTGCACGCGGCCGACCCGGGTTCGATTCCCAGCATCCCATGGGGTCCCCCAAGCACCGCCAGGAGTAATTTCTGAGTGCACAGCCAGGAGTAACCCCTGTGCATCACCGGGTGTGACCCAAAAACGCAAAGGAAAGAGAGAGAGAGAGAGAGAGAGAGAGAGGTGGGCGGGTGAGCTGGGTAGCAGCTGAGCAAGAGCAGGAGGGCAGAATGTGGGTCTTCTGCCCCATCCCTCCAGCCTGGACCCTGCACGCCTCTCCAGGCCCAGTTCTCTCCAGGGAAGCTCTGTTCAACACGGTTTTTCCAACATGATCTTCCTGAGTTCCCAATACTGGTGCTTCTCTTGTCTGGGCCCCCTGACCTCACAGAAACCTCTCCCATCACAAGGGACACAGTGTAGCCCCAGACCGCTCCAGTCCAGCCTGACACGCAGAACTCACTCGCTCACCCATGAAGCATCCTGCCAGGCCCCCAGCCCACGTCTCTCTCGGCCCCAGAGCACCCGGCCTCGCAGCTCAGCCCAGCCCACCAGTGACATTCCTGCCTCCTTCTCCTGCTTTATTTTTTCACATCGCCTCATTTTTTTTTCCCCCTCTCCCGTTTGGAAATCTGCATCCTCTTCCCACAGTCACGGCGTCTTTACAAGCTGCAGCAAACCATCCTTGGAATAAACTCTCCGAATAAATAAAGAACAAGCCAGGAAGAACCGGGCGCCCACCGGCTTCTCCACCCGCCGCCTGTGACGCGGGGCAGGCGGGCGCACCCCACCCCGGCACCGGTCCCGTACTTCAGCTAAAAGCCTGGCAGTGTCCCCAGGTCCTGCAGGCACGTGGGCACGCGAGCTACTTTCTTCCCCTCCCTGGAGCAGAGTGAGGGGGTGCCCACTGGAGGGGTCAGCACCGACCGAGGCCCCACCCACCCAGCCCGGGTCCGGGTCTGCCCGCCACCAAAGGGAACAGTGACGTCGGCGATCCCAGCCTCAGCTCCCTTCCACCCTGTCGGGGCTTCTGGCTCCTCTCTGCGCCCTTTCGGGTATTTCAGGGCCCAGGGTCCTGCGGTGGGCTTTCGGTCTTAAGTCGAGACTTGAAACCACCCTTTTCCTCCAACAAAACGGGGGTCGCCGCGAACCGTCGGCTGGAACGACACACAGGTTTCCGGAGGGGAAGGGGCGCTCCCTCCAGCCCCTCGGTCCCGGGGGTTAGCTAAGCCAGAGTTCCGAGCCACGCGGACCTCCAGCGGACCTCCAGGCGCCCCCTCCGCGAAGCCTCCCCTCCCCCACCCCGCCGGCTCACCTTGGCGGCCACCGAGGAGTTGGGCTTCTCCAAGAGGTCCCAGAGCTTCTTGCGCTTCTCGGCGCAGCACGTGTTGTCGAACTCCTCGCCCTCGCGCTCCCGCAGCGTCTCGGCCTCGCGCTTGAGCTCCTCGTTCATCTGCTCCTTCTTCTGGTGGTAGCGCGCCTGGCAGCAGGACTCCAGGTAGATCTCGTCGATGCCCCAGTAGTCGAGCTCCTGGCTGAAGCTGAGCGCGCACATCTCCTCCATCATGTGCAGGCGCCCGGTGCGGTAGAAGTTGAGGATGGACGTGAAGGCGCCCGGGTGGCGGTCGAAGAAGTACTCGTTGTCGTCGAGGCTGTAGTCGTCGCACACCTCGAGCAGGGAGTCGTGCGTGTTGCAGTCGCGCAGCTTGCCCAGGCGCGTGCGGGGCAGGCGGTCCAGGGTGCGCCAGAGCACCTCGTGTGCCAGCCCGCCCACGTTGAGGCGCACGCGGCGCGAGCACGCCTTGCTGCGCACGATCTCCATGGGCTCGGGCGGCAGCGAGCTGGTGGAGCGCGAGCCATGCTTCGTCATGCCCGCCGGCATCGCTGGTCCGGCCGCCCCCGCCCCCCCTGCCCCCCGAGGCCGCGGTCACGGGGACGCCGAGGTGGCCGCTGCGGGGGCGGGGGGCCGGGAGCGCTGCTGCGGGCAGCCGAGAGCGCAGGGGGCCGCGCGGGCGCGCCTCACCGCCGGCCTCTCACCTCCATCCCGACGGCTGCGGGCCAGAAAGCGGGACGCGGGTCAGCGAGTGGCCCGGCGGGCACCGCCCCGCGCCACCTCCCCGCCCCCGGCGCGCGCGCCCGCCCGCCCGCGCCGGCCTTGACCTTCCCCGCGCTTAAGCGGCTCAGGCGCGGGGAGGGCCCCCCCCGCCCCAAAGGCCGGGCGCTGTCTTTCCTGCGGGTGCTGAAGTCCGCCCCATCTGGGCACCGGAGGAGGGGCCGCGGCTCCCTGCCCGGGCGGGAGAAGGGCCCCCCGGAGGCACCCGGGAGGCCCCACCCCGGCCGCCGCCGCCCGGACCCACCCCGCCGCCCGGGGCGCTGTCCGCCCCTTCGAGTGCTGAAACCCGCGGCTTTCTGGGGCTCCCCGTCGAGGCCCAGGCCACCGGGAGGATGGGGGGGCGGGGGCGCTGCTTGGAAAAACTTTCCCTCCCCCTCTATAAAATAAGTCCCTCCCCCCCTAAAAAAAAAAAAGAAGACTTCTCTTTTCCTGCTTCCGAGATCATTAGGATTTGAGGATCAGGGGGTGGCAATGAGTTTGCTTTTTTCCAAAGCCCTGAAAGGTCGCGGGGAATGTGCGGGGCGGGTGTGTGTGTGTGTGCAGGTGCCAACCTGTCGGAGGTCACGACAGACGGGGTGCTCACGACATTCTCGCTGTCCCGGAGCGACCCCTCTCCCCCAGCCGCGGGAGCACGGCTCCAGCCATCAAATGCGCCCTGAAGGCGTGAAGCCCAGCGCGGGTCCCGCCCCTCCCTCCGCACCCCAACCTCACCGCAGGAGGGGCGCGCGCAGTCCTAGGACTCCACCTGCCCCGTCCTCCTCCCCCCCCCTCCTCCTCCCTCTTCTTCCTCCTCTCCCTTCTCTCCTCCCCACCTCCTCCCCGCCGCCTCCCCTCCTCCTCCTCCTCTTCCTCCTCCTCTCCCTCCTCTTCTTCCTCCCCTTCCTCCCCCTCCTCCCCCTCCTCCTCCTCCTCCTGCTCGCTCCTCTTCTGCTATGGCTTTTTATAACTCTGGGTTCTGCGCCTTTCCCGGGGCTTGGAAGGGAAGGGGTGGGGGAGGTGGGAGGCGGGGAAACGGGCTGAATTTTCTGGCCTTTTCAAAACGTGCCCTCCTCCGGCTGCGCACTGGTGATCGCTGGGGCTCCCCCGAGCCCGAGCCCCTCCGGCGGCGGCGGCCGAGGCTCACGCCCTCCCTCCCCGCCGCCCGCCGCCGGGAACGCGCCCCCCGCCCCCGCCCCCGCCCCAGGCCCCAGCCCGGGCCCGCGCGCCCCCCGCCCCCAGCCCCCCGAGCCCGGCGCCCCGGGGCCCCGCAGAGCGGCAGGCCGAGGCGCGGCGGGCGGGTCCCCCCTGCGCGTCCCCGCCGCGGCACTTACCCCCAGGGCGGCCGCCTCCCGGGGCCAGGGACCGCGCATCGCCCCGGCCGCCCGGGCGCCCCCGCCCGCGGGCAGCGGCGGCCCCGGGGCCGGACTGGGCCCGGCCTACGCGGGCCGGGCGGGCGACGCGCCGGGGCCGCGGGCAGCGCGGGGCCGGGACGGGCTCCCCGGGGCCGGGGGCGCGGGCGGCGGGACGGGCCCGGGCGGCGCCGCCGGCTCCTCCTCCCGCCGCGGCGGCTGCTCCCGCGGCGGCGTGGACGCGATCAACAAGTCGGGGCTGAGCTCCGGCTCCGCTCGCGCCGCGGTTCTGTCCCGCACTTCGGAGCGCCCGGAGTCGGGCACCGAGGCGGACGGCGCCACCTGCGGGTCGCCGGCGCGCGCGCCGCTTAACTCCTGCCTGCCCGGCCCCGCGGGGGGACGCCGGCGGGCCCCGCGCCGCCCGCCCGGGACCCCGCCGGCCGCCCGGGTCCCCGCCGCGGCCGCCCGGGCGCGGTCAGCGTGCGGGCCGAGCGTCCGCGCCGGGCAGGGCGGGCGCGCGCGCGGGCCGGGCATGGAGCCGGCCGAGGGCCAGCCGCGAGAAAGTCTCGCTCGGAAGATGTCACTCTGGGATGGGCGCTGGAGGGGGCGGGGTGTGTGTGAACCGGAGGGGGGAAACGGCGAGGGAGGGACGGGGCGGGGGGGGGGGGGCAGCAGACGGAAAATTTCAATAACCCTTGCTTCCCCGGGCTTCCACTCCAGGTTCGCCAAACCCGAATTCCGGCATCTCCTTCCTGCGCAAAGGCGGACCCCCCAACTCTGGAATCGTCGGCAGATGAACAGGCAACGCGGCAGTCGGTGGGGAGGGCTAAGAAAATAAAAGAAAACGGAGCAGGGGGGACGGCGAGAAGAAAACGGGGGAGAATGGGAGCCTGAGGGGCCAGTTCATGCCTAGAACCCAGACCCCCCCTCCTGCCAAGCTCAGCATTCAGCGCTTCCTCGGCCAGGGCCAGCGCCCCGCTGAGGCCCCTGTTCCGGGGGGAGACAGAACCCAGTAATGCCTGGAAATGAGTATCCATGGAGCAGACACAGTTATCAGGCTAGAGCAAGGAAGCTGTCACGGGGCCCCACAATTGCTCACTCTCGCGGCACACATGTACCGCATGATGAATAAACAGGTGTCAGCGACACAGCTCTGTCCCCAACCTCCCCTCCCCACACCCCTCCAGGTCCTGAAGGAGAAAAAGTAGGTAGGAACCACAGGGCCCCAAGGTAAGTTCTTCGCCTCCGGCATCCTTCTCTTTCTTTCTGAAAGTGAGACATTTGTTTCCATAGAGATCCATAATATTTGTACAGACGACTGTTTGTACATAATATATGGCTGCATAGTTTTAATCTGTTTACTTCTCATGGCTTCATCATTAGGAACCTTGTCCAAGATGCCATCATCTCACGGAGCAGAGGCCTGGCGCGGCGGCTAACCAGCTTCCCCCATACAGGAAAGACACCCCATCCCCCACAAGCACACACACACACACACACACACACACACACACATACACGCACACACACACACTTCAAAGAATCTTCCAGGCCAGAATGTTCGTAGAGCCAAGGCTGAGAAGTTCTACATTCATTTATTATTAGGCAAAGGCCTTTCCTGGTCTGGAGCAGCTCCTGCTCTCCGCCCGGCGTTAGTGGGTGTCCATCATGTGCCAAGCACTACTCTATCCCCAGGACACTGGTCGGGCACTTGCTTTGCACGCAATCGACCTGTGTTTGATCCCCAGCACCACACAGGGTCTCCCAAGCCCTGTGAGGAGCGGCCCCCTGAGCCCAGAGCCAGGAGTAAGGCCTGAGCATCTCCAGGTATGACCCCCAAAACCAAACCAAGGCAGGGGGGGAAAGGAAGAAACCTGAATAAGATACACCTCAGAGCCCGGAGAGGCCAGGGTGCAGGAGGGAACACAGAAATTAGGTTTACAAAGAGCAGGGTAATTGCCTTCCTCATCTTTTCTAAGCTACCTTATGTAGCTTTTATATATATATATTTTTTTTTTCCAAAAGAATGGCGACTATGTCATGTGGCTCCAGCCTTTTGGGATTCCCGTAAGCAACAGTTCTGACCACTTTGCACTTGCGTGGTTTGGTGCCCACAGTACTTTTTCTCTTCATCTGCGTCACAGTTTCACATCAGAGGAGTTTACAGCCTGGTTTCTGGTTCTCTCCAAGAATGAGAGAAGCTCGTGCACGAGGTGGGCCCGGCCTTTCTGGGTTAGAATGGCTGTATCTGCACAGCCACATTGGTCCTGGCCTCCACAGGCCCTTCGCGGCTCTCCAGTTCTCAGTGGCCACCACTTGTCCCGAAGACCCCCTTTCCAGCCCCTTTTCTCATCTTCCTCACTTGCCCGGCTCGTGTGTGTACATTTAAGCCTTTGCTCCTTGCAAACAACAGCCAGAGAAGTCTAAGGAGGTGCTGTAATCTGTTTCCCCAGCACTGCACAATGCTCCACTTGCAATGCTTGTCTTCTCAAGAAAAAAAAATTAAAAAGATTATCAGCTATTTGAAAAGCACCTGGCCTTCATTTTTTAGAACTTCCTGCTACCCTGAGAGGTGAGGAGAGAAATTCAACTGAGCATAAAACAGAACCTATCTGTGTCATAAGGGCTCCCGGATCGGGGCTGGAGCAATAGCACAGTGGGTAGGGCGTTTGCCTTGCATGAGGCCGACTGGGTTCGATTCCCAGCATCCCATGGGGTCCCCCCAGCACCGCCAGGAGTAATTCCTAAGTGCATGAGCCAGGAGCAACCCCTGAGCATCACTGGTGTGACCCAAAAAGCAAAAAAAGAAGGGGAGGCTCCTGGATCTAGCCACACCTGAAGCTGCATTTCCTGTACTCTCCAGTTATGTGAAGTGCTAAGAACCCCCCCTTTCGTAGGGCCACTCCAACCCGTGTTCTGTCTGGCAGTGCTTGGGCCAGGGGTGCAGGCCTGGCAGTGGTACACAGGGGCCACCAGGGCTGCACCCGATGGTGCTCAGGGGCCCAGGCAGTGCCAGGAACCCATCGCAGGCCCGTGCTCCGTCTCTGTACTAGGCGTGTGCTCCGTCACTCGAACTGCCCCCTAGGTCCCCCCCCTCTCCCCAAACCAGATAAAGTTGTGATTTTGTTTTTATGGCCCTAAAAGCCCATAACAGCAATTCTGTTTCCACTAATAGAAGTTTACTGTCCCTTTACAGTGCACTTAAACAGGACCAGAAGAAAATGAACTTAGAGGAGGGGAAAAAAAAAAACAACACAACTTGGAATGTTCTATGGAGATGGATCCCCCACTAAGAGTACAAGGGGCTGAAGCGTGGTAGAGCACTTCTCCTGCGTGCGGCCGACCGGGTTCCACACCGGTACCCCATAGGGTCCCCCCGAGCACCACCCAGAGTGATTCCTGAGTGCAGAGCCAGGAGGAACCCCTGAACATCATCAGCTGTGGGCCCAAAACAAACAACAACAAAAAATTCAAGTATAACCACCTCGTTTGGGGGTGGAGGAGGCCCAGCCTGGGGCTCAACGCAAGGTGCCAAGGTTAGAATGCTACTCAGGCCCAGAGTCCCGGAGTGTGCCCAAGCCACCGGGCAGTGCTCAGGAGCCCCCAGGGCGATGCCCAGCCGTGCCCGGGGACCACACGCAGTTCTGCGAACGGAACCAGGGTCGGATGAGTGCAAGGATCCACCTTAACTCTCCCACCACCTCGATGGGCCCACAGCCTCCTCATTTTTTTTTTCTTTTTGGGGTCACACCCGGCGATGCACAGGGGTTCCTCCTGGCTCTGCACTCAGGAATTACTCCTGGTGGTGCTTGGGGGACCCTGTGGGATGCTGGGAATCGAACCCGGGTCGGCCTTGTGCAAGGTAAACGCCCTACCCGCTGTACTATCTCTCCAGCCCCCCAGCCTCCTCATTTCTATAGGTAAAGTCCCTCGCTCTACATCCGGGGAACCGCTCAGGTCCTCCTCTGGCCCGTTGCCCGCCGGGAAGTTTCGATCTTTCCTCCCCGAGGCTGGGTGAGGTCAAGTGGGCCCAGCCTGTCCCTGTAAATACAAGTGACTCCCAGCCCAAACTGCTGGCAAGAAGCGTGTCCGTTGGCCGTCCTCTGCGCGCGCTCCCAGGCCCGGCCATGACTTATTCATAGCCCCGCTGAGTGTCCTGCTCCGGTTTCTCAGCGCTCCTGGGCAGGAAGCAAGGCTAATTAATCCCCTCGGCCCAGTCCCCGGACCCCTGAGGAGGAATAATTGCTTTATGTGGGTGGCGGGGAATCTTTATCTCTGAGTGGATGTCACTTACGACATCTGCTCCCCACCCACCCCCACCCCCACCGCCCACCCGCCGGCACCCACTTCCCTCCCTGGCTATTCTGACGCTGACAGGGGTCACAGATGACTCATGCTGCTCCGGGGGGCGTGGAGGGGGGTGGTACATCAGGGCACCTGGACGCAGCGTCTGCTGTGTGAGTGCGGGGGTGGGGGGTCGAGCGTCATACTCATTGACGTGGTGCTCGCGAACCTTCTAAGGACAACTGCCCTTGCCCCTGTTCCAGCAATTTTCCCGTCCGCTCGGACCCTCATCTTCCTGCCGTGGCTCTGGCGTTGATAAACTGGGCTTCAGCGCTGCCTGCCCAGGGTGCTGGAGCGGCTGATGAGATCGGGTGTTTCCTGTGCTGAGGGCTGTGCCCACATCCCTGGCAGCTGTAGTACAAACAGCCAGTCCTGACATTAGTGTCTGCGTTCCGGGCGCCATATGCAATGCTTCTTATGTGAGGTGTTGGAGATTCTTTCAGGCTCTCACCCCTGGGTGGGGACTTAGAGAAGACCTACGAACCAAGGGTGAGTGCTCGTTGGTGGCCTGGTGGTGTCCTACTCTAGTACTTGGTTGATTATCTTGATCAAGCCTGGGGGTTCCTGACCCAGGATCCTGGTAGATGGATGAGCCTGGTATATGGACCGACCCCAACATTTTTGTCCACTCTTCTTCCCATTTTTTACACATCACCGACCTATCAATCCAGCCATCCACTTATACATCCACATAGGCAACCACCAAACTGTTCATCTACACACCCACCCGTTATCTACCTACTCACCCACTGACCCATGATCTCACCCACTTACTAATCCATTTGTTTCCATTATTCTTGCATTTCATCCATTAGCCATCTTTCTGCCCATTCATTTACTCACCTGTGCATTTATGGACCCATCTACATATATATACATATATATATACCATCTGTCTACCCACCCACCCGCCCACCCATCTATGCGTTCACCCATCCCTGTGCCTTACAACTATTCTGTGCACTCCAGATATTCATGCCACTAACCACTTCTCACTGCCCTCAGCCACCCACCCACCCACCCACCAGCCCACCCACCCGTGAGTGTACCCACTTACTCAACCATCCCCACCCACATGCCACCTAACTCTTAGGAGCTTTGCTTTCTAGAATGCTCTGCTCGAAGCCTGAGCCGCATCTCTGGAGGACATGTGGGTGCCATGGGTGATGGGAACCCGGCAGATGTCCCAACAAGCCTCCTGTGGCCGGGCTTGGCCGAGCCACTGAGCCCCAGGTCCTGTGGGCAAACACTGCGGCGCTGTGGGCGGGCGAGGGAGGACCTACTGGGGCACAGGGTCCCCTCAGAGTGACCAGAGGCAAACTAATATCCCTTCCCCACCAATGAGGGGGGAAACTCCAAAATGCAGAAAAAAGTGCGAGTCAGCAAGAGGAGGGAATCAAAGCCACCGGCATCCAGAGCTAATTAACAGATTCTCCTAAGATAATATTTCATTAAAATCCAGCTCTGGCCTCTGGGGGCCGCTGCCTGCCCCCGCTGCCCTTGTCCACCCTTGCCGAGCTCCGCTGTCGCCTTTCCTGTCTCCCTTCCCCCCCCCCGCTTTAAACTTCCTCTCACCCAGTGCTCGGGGCGGCAGTGCACCCCAGGGCCCCCGAAACACCACCAGAGCTAGGAGTGTCCCCCGAGTCCCACCAGGGATGGTGTTCCAAAGTCCTAGACCCGCTTCAGATCCTCGCTCACTTCTTGTCCAGACAGAACAACAGACACGCCCATTTAGCCACTCTGTCCCTGTGGCCCCAGTTCCGAGGTGCCACCAAGCCATGTGGTCTGCTGGCAACGGCTCGGGCTGAGCAGAGCCCCTTGTCCCCCTGCAGCTCACCTTCCAGACACGGGGCAAACCAGCTCAGAGGGCAACGGCCAAGGGAACAGGAACATAATAGGAGACTGACACCTAGGGACAGTAGAGATAAGGGCCAGGAGGATCGCTCCACGGCTTGGAAGCCGATCTCATGTGCTGGAGGAAAAGGCAGCTGGGATGGAGAAGGGACCACTAAGTAAATGATGCTTGGAGGGCTCGCTTGGGATGGGAGATGCGTGCTGAAAGCAGACTATGGACCAACCATGATGGCTGCTAAGTACCTGTGTTGTGAATCATATCACCCAGAAGGAGAGAGAGAAGGTGCCTGCCACAGAGGCAGGGGACTGGGGGAAGGGATGGCTGGCGGGATACTGGGAGCAACTGGTGATGGAGAATGGGCACGGGTGGAGGGATGGGTACTCGAACATTGTATGACCAAAACATAATCATACAAGTTTGTAAATCTGTAATTGTATCTCACGGTGATTCATTAAAATTTGAAAAAATTAAAAAACAAGAAGTGGAGCGTGGGGACGACCGCCTCAGGTTCAGGGTTCCAGGAGGCTCCGTGAGGTTGAGCTCAGACACTTGAGGGTCAGCGCATCCCTGAGAGGCTGGGGGCGGGGATGAGCAAGCCCGGGGGGACAGAGACGCAGTGAAGGCGGTGTGACGTGGGCTATGCACCACAGCATGGCATGGACCGAGGAGGAGAGGTGATGAAGGTAGAAAGAGCTCGAGAACAGGGCAGGGGGCGTGGAGGAAAGTCTGAGCTTGGTGTCAAGTGCATGGAAGAGTTGTTAACGGGTGTGCTGGACCCGGATGGACCCTGAAGCCCGTCGCCCCCTGTAGGCAGGAGAGACAACCAATGGTGCTTTGATTTGGGAGGGTTTGTCAGAAGCTGCTTCCCTCTGCTCCCCGGGGGGTGAGGGCAGGGGGTGTCTCTCTGTCATAAGCTGGGGGACGGAAGGACACAGAACCAAGCATCTTGCTGCGATGAAGTTTTACTCTTTCTTTCCCTCCTCCCCTCCCTCCTCCCCTTCCCTCATCTTCATCATCACTGTGTTGCAATGATGGGGGTGGAGTCTCTCATCTTCCTGGTTGCAGTGCAGTGCTTGTGGGGGTGCGTGGGGTCGCACATCAGGCTGGGGTGCTGGCACACTCGGCCGCGGCGCTCACCGAGGTCTGTCCTTGAGTGTTTTGTTTTTGTTTTTTTTGCTTTTTTGGGGTCACACCTGGAGACGCTCAGGGGTTCCTCCTGGCTCTGCACTCAGGAATTACTCCCGGCGGTGCTCGGGGAACCCTATGGGATGCTGGGAATCGAACCCGGGTCGGCCGCATGCAAGGCAAACGCCCTCCCCTCTGTGCTATCGTTCCAGCCCATCCTTGAGTGTTTACAGGGAGTTGTGCTTGATCCAAGCACACGTGTCTCGGTGGTGCTCACACCTGCTGGCCAGGCTCACGCTCCCTGGCCCTGGCTCTCACACATCTTTCAGGGCTTGACGTCACTCCCTTGTCGTTCTCATACTGAGCCCACCTTTCCGCAGGCAGGGCACCAACATGCCCTTCCGTAGTCTCACACCGGAAGCACATGACGAGTTACTTCTACCCGCTGTGCTATTTCTCCAGCTCCCCATGAGGAGTTACTTCTTAATGTCCTCACCTGGCCCAAGGAAATCGAGTTCTTCTGGCGCTGGTGTGAATGGCACAGGGGTGCGGGAGGCCAACGTTCTGTCGCTGCAGAGCTCTGACACAGGAGACACCCAGGGAAGTCCTGTTTCTGCACAAGACCCTCACTGTGACAAACGCTTCTCAGACCTGGCTACCTTCCCCCTCCAGGGGACACAGCCTGGTTCCTACGAAGACTACATTTCCCAGCCTCCTCTGCAGCAAGGAGCATCACGTGACTGCGTTCTACCCAATGGGCTGGAAGCAGAGGATTTTTCCCTTCTCTGCTCTTCCTGCTCTTAGGAAGCTGGACAAACCCCGCTGGAGTTCAAGCAGCCTTACTGGCTGCTGGTAACAGAGGCTGGGGGGAGGGGGAGTGGGTGACAGCAGGAAGGATCCTGGGGACTATGTAGTTGCCACAGCCCCTCCTGTCCTGTATCTGTGGGACAGGGAGAAGCTTGCTGAGCGGACGTTGCTGCCAGCCCAAGGTGCCTGTCCCTTGCTGTCAAACCCAGTTCCACCATGATGGGGGGAACATTTGGGGATCGAGAGGAAAAGCCCGCTTCCTTTTTTGTCTTTTCTCCAATTAATTCACACACACACACACACACACACACACACACACACACACACCCTTCGTTTTTGATAGGAACAAGTGCATCCCTGGGTCAGAGGGCGTGCAAACAAGGGCAGGCAGGATGTCTTTCCTGCTGGGTTTCCTTTGCCCGGGCCGCGTGCCTCTCCTCACCGTGCCTCCTGCTGCTGGCCGGGTCGTGGATGAGACACGGGAGGCTCTCTCAGGAGGCAGCCTCACATGCCCGAGTCCTACTTTATGTGTGGTCGGGGGGGGGGGGGGCTGGGTGCTCTGGGCTTACTCCTGGCTCTGTGCTCAGGCATCAGTCCTGGAGGGGCTCAGGGGGCCCTATGGAGTGTGGGGGTCAGACCCGGGTCAGCTGCATGCTAAAAGAAACGCTTGATCCCTGTGCTACCTCCCCAGCCCTGGAGCTCAATTCTGCCTATACAGAGGCAGGTGGCCATCCTCTCCTGCCCTTTGTCCGCCCTCCCGTGTGAGCCCAAGCTGCAGGGTGGCTGGAGGAGCCATGGGCACGTCCCAGGCAGCCCCGACCCCGCGGCAGACAGAGCCCTGGGCTCCCTTCCCGGGCACGGTGCTCCGTTTTACAAGCACAGCTGCCAAGCGAACCGCCTGAGGGGCCAAGCCACCACTGCTACACTCCCCAGGAGGCTCCCGCTGGAGCCCTTAACACCGGCCAGAACATTCTCACCAGCAGCGTGGCAGGAAAATAGACAAAGTTTATTAACACCGAGAGGCTTAGCAAACGCCAACACAGAAACATGGTCTTTATCCAAAGGAAACAAAAAGGACACGTTGGGCCAGGACACACCCTCTCGGAGCCGGTTTCTCCACCCGGAGAACGGGCAGGTGGGTGGGCATCAGCTCATCGGACCCCCAGGAGTCCCAGAAGCAAGCTGACCGGGAGCTCTGTCCAGGGCAGCTGCGTGAGGCCAGCCCGCCCCTGCCCTTCCCTTCTGCCCTGGGACCAGGGGATCAGCTAGGATGCCCGTGGCTACTGCCTCTTCGGGAAAGGAAGCTGGCTGCGTGCCTTGGGGGATACCTGCCTGGGGGCCCCTCCCCAGGAAATCGATTTCTCAGCCACTTTCTATTTTTGGCTGAGAGTGATACGTATCATCAGTTCCCAATGGTGAAAAAAAGTTCCCTTTAAACACACGTGAGGGGTGTGTGTGTGTGTGTGTGTGTGTGTGTGTGTGTGTGTGTGTGTGATGTGAGCTTCTTTAAAGGGAAAGATCTGGTGAAGGGCCACACACCAAATCTCACACTTAAATCATCGGCGTGCTCAGGACGTGCTTCATCAGGTTCAGCTAAGCACGTCTTTCCCAGGACGTGCAAGCCTGTGAGCCCACGGGGAGGGTCTTCCTGTGTGGGGGGTCTCGTGCTGGCCGAGGGAGGCCCCGTCTTCCCAGCTCAGCTGGGGGAAGAGCCCCCCTGGCCCTCTCTGGGCTGGGGCTTTGGCGTTTTTCAAAGAGAAGAACAACAATGAGGATGAGACCCAGGGAGGCTGCTGTAGCTTCTACCGCACCAGCTGGAGCCGCCAGCTGGGACCTGCTCCTTTGAAAGCGGGGGGGGCAGCACGGATGCGCCCCTTTAAGGGATCTGGCCCCGTTCTGAACGCCATTGAGAATCCAGTCTCGGTGGCAACGGAGCCCTGATTCAGAAGGGGAATGTCAGAGGACTCCCCCCGGCACACCCCATCTTCCTGAAGCTATTTCTGCGCCCTTCTGCCTTGTCTTCCCAGCCGGGAGGAGGCGGCTGAGGGTTGCCATGGAAACCGGCTCCTTCCTCCCACCGGAGGCTGCCAGCCCAGATTTCCTGCCGAGTTAAGAAGCAGGCAGGAGTGGGGGTCACCCAGGCGTGAAGATGGGTTTCCCTGGGGATATCCCGCCTCCTGCCAATCACAGTGTCTGTCTGGGAATCCTGGGGGGTGCCTGGAGGCTCAGGGCCAGGGAAGACCCCAGCCCCCAGCGCTGCTGCTCTGAGGAGATTAGCTGGAACTCTGCAGAGCTCCATTCCCCTCTCCTCCTCCAGCAAGAGACACGAGGACCTGTGTGTGTGAGTGTGTGCGTGTGCATGTGTGTGCATGTGTCCATGTATATGGTTGGGGGTGTATCGAGGAGAGTCTGTGCTGCATGTGATTGTCTGTGTCTGTAGTGGTGTGTGTTTGTATCTGAAAGTGTATTTATTTGACTGTGTCTATTTGTAAGCATACATGTCTGTGTGTACGCGAGTATGTATGTATGCATATAAGTGTGCATGTATGTATATGTGAGTGCATGTATGTGCGTGTACAAGGGAGCAATTGTATGTGTGTGGACATATGTGCATGTGTGACCATGTGTGCATGTGTGTATGCAGGTACATGTATGTCTGTAAGCATGTGTGTATGTATATGTAAGCAGGTACGTGAGCATGTGTGTATGCATGTATGTGTATACATATGTGAGCAACTGTGTGCAGATATGTGTATGTAACTGTGTGCATGTAAGCAGATATGTTTGTTTATACATGTGAGCATGGTATGCATGTATATATGAGTGCTGTGCGTGTCTGCATGTGTACACATGTGTGTGAGCATGTATGTGAGTACGGTGCACGTGGGCATGCGTGTGTATGCATGCGTGTGAGCATGTGTGTATGTGAGTACTGTGCATGTGAGCATGTGTGCGTGCATGTAGGGGTGCGATCACCCCCCACAGGTGCCTCTGGCTCTGTCAGCTCTCTGACACCAAACACAACTTCCCCTCCACCCACCTCCGCCCTTTGTGTCCAAGGCTTGCAAAGCTGCCCGCCAGCCCTCGCTACTGGAGTGGTGTGTCTGTCTGCTGGATACAGAGCTGTGTGACCTTGGCCAAGTGACTTGCCCTCTCTAGTCCTCTGTGCAATCTCAGCCTTTCTCTCTGCTCCTCTCTGGGAGGAGGGCATCACCATCCCTCATTCCCAGACACAGGGTGCGGCTGGAGTCAGTTCTGCCGGACCCTGGGGCCATGTCGTCACACAGGACTGAGGGATCCAGGAGATCAGTAGCCCCTGAGTGGCGGCTTCTCCCTCAGGGATGCAGAGTCCAGACCTCACCACCAAGCTGCGGTTCCCAGGACAGGCTGTCCCCAGGTGAGGGGACCATCTCCCCTTCTGCATCTAAGGGGGCATCTCAGACTGCAGTGTCTCCCCGTGCCAGGAGGCGGGTGAAGGGGCAGAGGGGACCCGGGGGTCGGGCGGGGAGGGGGGGATGCCTCAGCTCCAGGTGTCTGGGAATACACACCAGTAAGGCCACTGCTGACTGCCTGGGTGGGCGCCCACCCAGGCTCCCCACGACGAGACAACAGCAACGGATGGGCGTGTTGTTTTTCTTTTTAATCGAAAGTGTAACAAAGCCGCTGCGGACTGGATGGTGCCCGCGGCGAGCTCTGAACTGCAGTGGGCACCAAGGCCCCTCTCCCCCTGTCCCTTGAAGTCCCACCGCTTCCTGCCTCCAGGCAGCTCAGCCCTGGGAAACCCCCCTGGGGATCCGGGGCTCTGGGAGCTGCCCTGCTCTTGCCAGCCGCTGTGGGGGGCAGGGAGCGCCTTGTGCACCTGGCGTGTGCCAGCCGGCATTTCCCCAGACGAGCAGTGCCCGGTGAGGGGCACCCAGGGAGCAGGTGCCGTGGCCACCTGGAGCTGACCTAAGCCTGGAGGGCTGAGCTTGTATCAGGGGGGTACTGGTCCCAAAGGCCAGCGTCCCTCAGACCATCGGAGCTAGAGCGGGGCACCGGGCTCTCTGGGCACTGGGGGCACAGGGAAGCTGTGGGGGGCAGAGAGGAGAAGTGGAGCCAGAGCCAGAGCCCTTTGCAAGCTGCCCCGGAGCTTCTGGAGCCTTCCCTACTGACACGCCCCTCGTCCCCCCTTCCCTCCCCGAGGGGAGAAAGGAGGAAGGAGGGCCTGCGGGCAGAGCTGGGGGGCAGAGCTGCACCCCCAGAAGCAGACACAGAGCGTTGGGAGCTTGGGGGGTCGGGCTGACCGGAGCGGCGGGTGCCAACGCCCACTCCAGGACTCAGGGCCGCAGGCGGTAACGGACGCGCACGTCGTGGGCAGGCTGCAGCAGACCAAAGCCGTACCTGCTGGGGTCAAACGCGGGGAGCCCCTCGTCTGGGGCCAGGAGCTCCAGGTCCAGGTGGGTCAGCGCAAGGACCATAAACCTGCAGGGGACACGGGAGAGAGGGCTGCAGGGCTGCTCTAGCGTTGAGTGCGGCTAAGACACGGACCCAAGGGCTCCGTGGGACACCCATGCCCGCCCTGTGGCAGGTACGAGTCTCTGCATGGCCCGGCTGTGGCAGCAGAAGGGAGGAGGCCCCAGCACCTGAGCCCAACACCTGTCGGAGACGCCGGAGTTAGCTCCTGCGTGACTGACAGCGCCAGGCCACGGAGGGGTGGAAGGTGAGTTTCACATGGCTGATGTGTCACTGCATCAGCGAGGAACGGGAGGAGGACGTGAGAACAGTCTCCCCGTGGGAGCGAGCTGAGCAGGAATCCATAAACACACGCACGCGCACACACACGCGCACACATATACACACACTCACACACACTCACACACATATATACACTCTCATACACATACACACATATACACACACATATATACACACACATACACACATATACATGCACACACACATATATACATACACACATACATATACACACTCACACACGCACACACACATATACATATACTCAGACACATTCACACACACTCTCACATATACACACACTCACACAAAGCAGACACTGAGCAGGAATTACACAAATTCAAACACAGGGAAGAAATCACACATACACACACATACACATTCTTACACACACTTTCTCTGACACATATTTAGATACTGAGCAGGTATCTCTCTCTCTCTCTTTCACACACACACACACACACACACACACACACACACACACACCGAGCAAGAATTCACACACACACTCTCACACCCCCTACACCCTCTGCTCCCCGGTTGGTGTGTATATGGAGGGGGAACGCAATGCTAATTCCAGGGCTGGACTTCGGAGACTTCTCACCCCTCACCTCCCTCCACCATCAAACCCAGGTGGAAGCCTGTGCTTGTGGGGCGCTCCCTTGTGCGCACCCCGAGGGCCACAAGCTGGGTGGTGGGGTTTCTACTCTGACCCACCTCATCCGTCTGACCTTTCCTGGTGGTCAGGACCCGCTCCCTGCTTAGAGTGGGGAAACAGTCACGAAGGTCCCCTAGCTTACCAGGACTCGGGGGGTGAGGAGGACAGAGTGACAGACGGCACAGGGAGGAAGGCACTTGCCTGGCACGTGGCTGTTGCAGCCAACTCCAGTAAAATCCCCAGCACCACATATGGTCCCACGAGCACCACCAGGGCTGTCTCCTGAGCACGGAGCCAGGACTATCCCCTAAGCACCACTGGGTGTAGCCCAACCCCCACCACACCCCCTAAGAAAAGAAAAGATAAAAGGAAAAAAAGCACATAACCCTGGTCTGTCTGTGATGCTGGAACTCGAGCCTGGGGTCCAGGAGGAGACTGGTGGGTGCTCAGCCCCCACAAACACGCAGGAGGCAATGAGAGTGTTGGGCTGGTACTTCTGAGGGCTCCGGATGGCAGCTGCAAACAGCTGGCCCCGGCCACAATGCAGCTCCGCGTCTGCTGTGCTGGGTGCTGGGACTGGACCCCAGACTCACAAGGGTGACCTGTGGCCAGATCTGCTTTGGCTTTTTACCTGAGTTTGGGTCTTTGAAAGTCAGCACACACAGAAAACGACAGCTCTGTGGATCGGTGGGTGCGGCTGTGCATGGTCGGCTTGGAGCCTTTGCCCTGGACCATTCTCCCGGCTGGGCCCTGCATCTCACCTGCTGACCCCCAAGCACATGAGACCCCCTTACACACACACACACACACACACACACACTCACTGTTTGATGCTGCTGACGGCAAAGCCCTTCCCCAAGCACTGGTTGTGCCCTGCGCCCCACGGCAGGCTGTAATTCTTCAGTCGCTTCCCGCCCTTGTAGAAATCTTTCTTCTCTGAGCCGTCAGGGTTCAAGAATCGGTTGTATTTAAATTCCTAAGGAGGGAGAGACACAGCAGCTGAGTGTCCCTGGCAGGTTCAGTCTCCCAAGGGAGATCTCTGGAGCCTTCTCAGGACGGGGGTGGGTGAATCCCTGCCCTGCCTGAAGGCCCAGCACCTCACCCGTATCCGACCTCCGCTGGTCCAGCTCCGAGACTAATCTCGGAGAGACTCCGAGCTGCTGAAGCTCCTGGAGTGTGCGGCCACATATGTGGCCATGCATCACCTCCAAACCTCACAGCACTGACAAATCCGGAAAGAAGCACAGCAGATTGGATGGAGATGTTGCAAAGAAGCCCAATCATTGAGCAGAAACAGTAGCAGCAACTCACAGCCCAGTCAAGACTCCCACAATAACTTTAGCAACACCATTATGGGATATACACTGTAGCAAGCAGCGTAAAGTAGATTATCTTGTGCCTGCTAGGGGGCAGACTTGGGGAGTGGGGTGGGAAACTGGGGACACTGGCGGGGGGGGGCGGGAGGGCATGCTGGGATGGTATTAAGTGCTGGAACACTGACACCTAAAACAACTGGATTACAAACAACATTGCAATTCGCGGTTCTTCATATAAAGCTATAAACGTTCCCAAAAATTCCTAAATGAAAGAATGTCCAGTTACAACTCTCCCAGCTCACCTACAACTGAGCAAGCAAGAAGAAAAAGGAATGAGGATGCTCAGAGTTCACCACAATCTTGCTTCCCAAGATAAAATCTGGAGACATGGGTGGGTGGGTCGGAGAGAACTGGCTGTTCTTTAAGAGGTCAGGCGGCCTCTGTATGCTGACATGGGTATAATGTGTCACAGCAGTGGCTGAGGGGAGACAGCAAGTTCTGGAACAGCACTGCCTGGCCTCTGTGCGGGTGAGCTTTGTGTATGTCTGCAAAACCCTAAGAACGGTGCCAGGGGGCGGGAGCAACAGTACAGCCACTAGGGCACTTGCCTTGCACACAGCCGACCCGGTTTTGATCCCTGGCATCACATACGGTCCTTCAAATCCCACTAGGAGTGAGCCCTGAGTACAGAGCCAAGCATAAGCCCTGAGCACTGCCAGATAGATCCCCCCCCCAAAAAAAAAGGAAAAGAAAGTCAAATATTTCTGGCTATAGTGTAGACAGTGAAGTCGAGGATTTTATCTGAACACAAGGTTTAGCACAAAGTCATGGTGAATGAAAGGGTAGAATAATACATACATGTGATCACCGGGTAGGGCGGAAGCAAGCTTCTCAACAAGTGGTCTCAAACCCCTATGGCGGTTGTGTGACTGAATGTGGGGGAGAGCAGAAGAAAATCTGGCAACAGCGAGAGGTTTCCCGATCAGCAATAACCGAAAAATTAATTCATGGAATCCAGCTTGGGAGACCCCTTCTCATAGCACGGGAAGCGAGAGGCTGCCTGCCTCCCTGCTCTGTCTACTCTCTTACATAAAATCTCTGCTGAATTCAGAAAAAAATTAACTCCCAATCAAACGCATAATGAATCCGAGGTGTTTCCAGCAGCACTTACCAGTGCTGTATTTCTCAGGCAAAAAGTGATCACGAGTGTTGAGAAGAGTTAAAGAAGCCCTGAACTAGAAGATGGAAGGTGGTTTGGTGGGTGGATGGGTGAGTGGGTGGATGGTGGAATGGTAGGTTGGTGAACAGATGATGGGTAGGATAGACAGGTGGGAGATGGATGGATGGGTGGATGGAGGATGGGTGGGTGGGTGGATGGATGGATGGATGGATGGGTGGGTAGATGCATGATGGGTGGGTGGGTGGGTGGATGGGTGGATGATGAGTGGGTGGACGGATGGGTGGGTGGATGGGTGGATGGATGATGGGTGGGTGGGTGAATGGATGGATGGATGAATGGATGGATGGGTAGGTGAATGGGTGGTAGGTGGATGGATAAATGGATAGGTGGATGGATGGATGGAGAGGTGGGTGGGTGGATGGATGGATGGGTGGATGGATTGGCGGGTGGGTGGGTAGATGGGATGGAAGGTCAGATGGATGGGTAGATGGGTAGATGGTGGGTGGATAGATGGATAATTGGATGGATGGATAGATGGATGGATGGGTGGGCGGGTGGGTGGATGGATGAATGAGTGAATGGATGGATGGATGGATGGATGGAAGGATGAGTAATTGGATGGATAATTGGATGGATTATGGGTAGATGTATATATGGATGATGGATGATGGATGGATAGATGTGTGGGTGGATGGGATGGAAGGATGGGTGGATGGGTGGATGGATGGATGAGTGGATGGGTGGGTAAATGGATGGATGGGATGGAAGTACAGATGGATGGGTGGATGGGTAGATGGGTGGGTGGATAGATGGATAATTGGATGGATGGATGGATGGATGGATGGATGGATGGATGGATGGATGGATGGGTGGATGGATGGGTGGGTGGATGGATAGATGGATGGGTGGGTGGGTGGGTGGATGGGCAATTGGATGGATAATTGATGGATTATGGGTGGATGTATATATGGATGGATGGATGGGTGGATGGGATGGAAGGATGGGTGAATGGATGGATGGATAGATGAATGGATGAGTGGATGGGTAGGTAAATGGATGGATGGGATGGAAGGACAAATGATGGGTGGATGAGTAGATGGGTGGGTGGACAGATGGATAATTGGATGGATGGATGGATGGATATGTATATATATGGGTAGATGGGCTGGAAGGATGGGTGAGTGATGGGTAGATGAGCTGGTAGAGGGATGGGATGGAAGAATGGGTGGATGGGTGGATGGATTGGCGGGTGGGTGGGTAGATGACTGGGTGAACAGATGATAGACAGTGGGTGGATGGATGGATGGATAGATGACAGAGGATGCATGGATGATGCTTGGATGGAGGGGAATACGGCATAGGGTTTGGCACACAATGAGCACCCCAATCTGTCAGGAATAGCCATTTTGCCCCAGAGTAAGTCTAGAAGAGAGAGCAAAACTGTGAGAGTGCTTTGGGGGCCAGACCGGTGGAGTTCAGGGCTTAGTCGAGGCTCTGTGCCTGGGACTGTCCTGCATCAGACACATGCAGGCGAACGCCTCCTCCTTCCCCGGGGACTGTGCTGAGACCCTGAGCAGCCGCGCTCCTGTGCGGGCTGGGTACTACTAAGGTTCTGTGCAGGACTGCACTGAGCCCCCCCACAGCTCCCGGAGGAGGAGAGCTAAGATGGGGTGAGGAGAAGAGGGGTGAGCCGGAGGGTGGCAAGGCCACAGCAAGCAGTCAGGTGCCACCCAGAGGGGCTAGTCTCTGCTCCCCGTCTTGTCCCTGGCCCGCCACTCACCTCTGGGTCCGGGTAGATTTCCAGGTCCTTCTGGGGACTCAGGAAGGGGAAGAGGAGGAGCCGGTCCCCACGCCGAAGGCGGAACTGGCGCCCGTCTGCCAGGGACAGGGCCAGGTCTGCCACCACCTCGCGGGTGATGAAGGGCGCGGCGGTGAGCCGGAGGCTCTCACTCAAGGCGCTGTCTGCGGGGGACAAGGAGGGCTCAGGGGGGGGCTTCCCCCCACCGCGGGACAGCACCCACCTCCCACCCACGCCACACGCACAGGGCGGCTGGACAGAGCACGTGAGGCTGCAAAGGTCGGGTGGTGGGTGGGGCCTTGGCCTGGAGGCCTCAGGCTGGGTGCGGGCCTGGGAGGCACCGGGGGAACATGGGGTGGGGGGCTGGGAGGAGCAGCGATGTCGGGGTCTCCCTCGGGAAACAGTCCCTGCCCTGCTCACTCTCGGGAGTTAAGTTGTTGATTTTATACCTCAACTGAGCTATGACTGGCTGGTCAGTGCACCCCAACACTCTGCCCCTTGACCTGGCCCACGACGGGCATGTGACCCCATAGACACGGGCGTGCAGATGCGCCCTTGCCAAGCCAGAGGAAAAAGGGGTGCAGAGATGGACAGGCGAGTCCAGGTGGCAAGGTGGGAGCCCCTAGATCCACCTGTGCCTGAGGCCAGCCCTACTGACCAGTTGGCATCTTCCCCCAGTCAAGTCACTTTTCCATATCCTACGAGCGGCAGTGTCCTCGTGGGTCCGAGAGCACGTGACTGCTAGGCCGAGGAAGCCCAGGGGATCAGGGGGCAGCTCAAAGGACAAGGTTGGGCCCTGAGGGTGGGGACGTTTGTCTAGGGAGACCCCGGGGCCCCAGAACTGAGACTCACCGAGCACAGGCAAGCTATCTAGAACCTTCTGTGGGAAGGCGGGCTTCTCCGGGGGCTCCATGGCGCTCTCGAGTTCTTCACGAACTGCAGACAGTGCCTCGGGGGTCCTGAGCAGGAAGAGCAGCAGCCAGAAGGCAGCGGGACCCATGTTCCCCTGAGGGTGGGCGGGCGGGCTGGGTTAGAGGATTCGTCTGCACCACCCTCCCGGGCCCGGGCTTGAGGCATCTGTCTACACCACCCACCCAGACCTGGATATGAGGCGTCCGTCTATACCACCCTCCCAGGCCCAGGGATGAAGGTCCGTCTACACCACCTTCCCAGGCTTGGGTGTGAGGGTCTGTCTACACCATCCTCCCAGGCCCAAGTGTGAAGGTCTGTCTACATCACCCTCCCAGGCCTGGGTGTGAGGGTCCGTCTACACCACCCTACCAGGTCTGGGTGTGCGGGTCTGTCTACACTACCCTCGCAGGACTGGATGTGAGGCGTCCATCTACATCACCCTCCCAGGCCTAAAAGTGAGGCGTTAGTCTACACCACCCTCTCAGGCCCGGGGATGAAGGTCCGTCTACACTACCTTCCCAGGCCTGAGTGTGTGGGTCTGTCTACACCACCCTCGCAGGACTGGATGTGAGGTGTCCGTCTACATCACCCTCCCAGGCCCGGGGGTATGAGGGTCCATCTACACCACCCTCCCAGGCCCAGGAGTGAGGCGTTAGTCTACACTACCTTCTCAGGCCCCGGGATGAAGGTCAGTCTACACCACCTTCCCAGGCCCAGGTGTGAGGGTCCATCTACGCCACCCTCCCAGGCCTGGGTGTGAGGCATCTGTCTACACCACCTTCCCAGGCCTGGGTGTGAGGGTCCGTCTACACCACCCTCCCAGGCCTGGGTGTGAGGCAACCATCTACACCACCCTCCCAGGCCCGGGTGTGAGGTGTCCGTCTATACCCCCTGCCCAGCCCAGATCATGAAGTTCCACACTCAGACATCCTATGGTGATCACCAGTGTCTATCTCAGCCGGGGAATGGCCAGAAACTATCGATCTTGGCAAAGCCCAGGACCCGTTCCCAGGCCAGCCCAGCCTGCCTGGCCTCCAACAAAACTGGTGACCTGTGACCTCAAAGGCAACCCCAGAGCCAGTCGGTGGCAGGTGGTGACGGAACAGGATGCTCATTAAGCGTCCTCTCAACAAGTGCCCTGGGGAGGCAGCATGGGGCTGTCCAGCAGGGCAGATGGGTCAGTGAAGCCCATCTGTGTGTTCCACTGGGTGTTTAGTCATCACACAATGGTGACAGGACACCTGAAGACCCTTCCTCAAATATTTAACCTTCAACTATTTGCCTTATTGCAGGTACAAAGCAAAGAGGCAATAATAAATCATTGCAAAAACTCTAAGTTCCGGGGCTGCAGAGATAGCACAGCGGGAAGGACGTTTGCCTTGCACACGGCCGACCTGGGTTCGATCCCCGGCATCCCATATGGTCCCCCAAGCACCGCCAGGAGTAACTCCTGAGTGCAGAGCCAGGAGTAACCCCTGTGCATCGCCGGGTGTGACCCAAAAAGCAAAAAAAAAAAAAAAAACACTCTAAGTTCCTTGGAGCCAGAGCAATAGTGCAGTGGGCAGGGTGCTTGCCTGGCACCCAGCCCACCCAGGTTCGACCCCTCCCATCCCACAGAGTCCCCCAAGTCTGCCAGGAGTGATTCCCTGAGTGCAGAGTCAGGTCAGCCCTGAGCACTGCTGAGCATGGCCCCAAAACAAAACAAACAAACAAAACCCCCATAAGTTTCTTGAACAAAAATTATTTAAAACACCCCAAAAGGGTAGGAAACGTAGCTCAGTAGGAAAGCATTTGCCTTTTATTTATTTATTTCATTTATTTTTGCTTTTTGAGTCACACACGGCGATGCACAGGGGTTACTCCTGGCTCTGCACTCAGGAATCACTCCTGGCGATGCTCAGGGGACCCTATGGGGTGCTGGGAATCGAACCCGGGCACCCACGTGCAAGGGAAACGCCCTCCCTGCTGTGCTATCGCTCCAGCCTCGCACTTGCCTTTATGAGATCCTGGATTCCATCCCAGAACCACCAAAAAAAAGAGAAGTTTAACCCCCCCAAAGGTTAGATTGGAGGGAACTGTCTGGTAGCTTTCACTCTTAGAGGTTAGATCAGGAGGGGACTGTCTGGTAGCTTTCTTCGACTTCAACCTTGATGGAACAGTTCTGCACTCAGGGGCTGAGCAGGTGGCTTCGAAGTGTCCGGGCGCCCTGAAGTGAACTCGGAGGGACAGACCAACAACCCTGCCCCCTAATATGGAATATTAAAGAGACATTAGGCCGCCTGTTTATCCAGCCATTCTATTATTAGACGCAGTTCCACGCAGGCAAAGGACATTTGCACAGATACTTATCAAAGTGCTGATGTATCAGCAAGAGACTGGAAGCGTCGATACAGGAAATCAATGACGATGCCTGGTCACTTGCAGGATGGCCAGAATGGGGCTGCCCAAAGGAGTCAGCTGAGTGCAGGCATCCAGGGGACACCGGGACAGCCGACAGCAAGTGCTGGGCAGGGCTCATCGGGCGGCCCTCCACCGAGGACACAAGGGCCCCCAGGCTGCGCTCAGGCAGGGGCAGGGGGTTCCAGGCAGGGGCAGGGGACCCGGGCAGGGAAACGAGCTGACTTCCTGCGTGACTGGTGCAGGGAAGCGTTTGAATGTTTTATACGGGGGCCTTGTTTTAAAGAGAAGAGAGAGTCATCGATCTTTTGTGGCGATGGCCAATGACAGAGGAAGGACGTACCTCCCACAGTATTTTATAAAATTAAAAGCTGGGGTTTAGTCATGGCCTCGACCGCAAAGACAAACATCTGGGCAGAGGCACCGAGACAACCAACCGCGGCCGCCCGCGCTGATGAAATGGCTTTTCCTGAGCTTCTGGGATTCAGCGCCGACAAAACGCCAGAGCCCTCCCCCACCTGGTGATCACACCTTCCCCCTGCCAGGAAGGAAAACTAAGCACCTGGATCCCTACCACTGGCCAGCACTGCATCCCTCAGGGCCTGTACTCTGAAATGGGTCCCCAAAAGCCAGGTTTGAAACCCAGTTCTCTCTCTGTCTCTCTCTCTGTCTCTCTCTGTCTCTCTCTGTCCATCTCTCTCCTGTTTTTTTTCCCCCCACACCTGATGGTGCTCGGGGCTCACTCTTAGCTCTGTGCTCAGGGCTCACTCCTGGCTCTTTGCTCATGGCTGACTCCCAGCTCTGTGCTCAAGGCTCACTCCTGGCAGTGCTCAGGGCTCACTCCTAGCAGTGCTCAAGGTTCACTCCTGGCAGTGGTCAAGGCTCACTCCTGGTGGTGCTCAGGGCTCACTCCTGGCTCTGTGCTCAGGGACCATTCCTGGCAGTGCTTGGAGAACCATATGGGGTTGTCAGGAATGGAAACCCAGGTCGGCCACAGGCAAGCGCCCTCCCGCTGTGCCATGTCTCCAGCCCCTGCTGGCTGAGTCCAGGCACTCTGCCCTAGGTCTGGGCAGCCCCTTCTGTCCCCTCCCTGGGCCCACAGAGACAGGATGAAGTTCCAGCCCAGGGTCAAGTGCAGACCTGGTGCTCAGAAGTGGGCCCCTCCCCCAGCCTGTTCTGGGGGAGCACCTGGGGGTGTGGGAGCACTCAAGCCCCTCCCGGCCCATAGCATCTGCAAGGTCATTTGCTATCCATCACTTAAGTCACCAAGGAGGTGATAAATAACACAACCTCGGCTTCTGTTCGGCACCAAGGACCCATCCAGACGGGGCCAGTGCTCCTTAATTCCAGACGGCAGCGGGACTGGGGCTGCTCAGAGGCCCAGGGAGATGCTGTGGCCATCACAGAGGGGACCGATGCGTGCGTGCACGCCCATGCGTCCGTGTGGTCAGGCAAGCACAAAAGACCCTGAATTCAAGACACTGGAGGTTACGCTTCTTCCGTGGGCCCCTGTCCTGTCTGCCCAGGAGGGCATTTTCAGTCTCCATCCACACAATGGTCAGACAGACCCCTGCTACCAGCCAGGGAACCCGAGATCTGGTGCCCAGAGACTCACAGTAGACTCTGACTCCTGCTACCTCGGTTAGTCCCACAGAATGGGGAGGGACACACATCCACATACGTGCATACAATATGTGCAGACATGAAAACATGCATGAACATGTTTTATGTTAGTCCCAGAGAATGGGGGAGACACATGTCCACATATGTGTATACAATGTGTGCACACATGACACACATGAACATGTTTTCATGCTAGTCCCAGAGAATGGGGGGAGACACACATCCACATACGTGCATACAATTTGTGCACACATGACAACACGCAAGCACACACATGAACACGGGCACGCCTCAAGGAAGACACACCCGCGCCCACCTCATTCCTACACGTTCCTACACGTCGTCTCTGCTCGGACACGGGGTGCAAGCCAGCGCGGGCTCACGCCCGTTCACCTTCGCCCGCACACGCCCCACGCGAAACCCAGCACGCACCTGCGTGGCCCAGAGCTGCAGCAGCAGCGCCCGCGCCTGCATCTGCTCCGACACGCCCAGCTCCTCCAGGAACAGCAGGTAGCTCTCGAGCCACGCGCTCCGGTGCGCGCGGCCGGCCAGCCGCGCCGGGGACAGCAGACTCCACAGGCGAGCTTTGACCTTGCCCACTTGCTCGAGCTCCTCTGCGGGGACAAAGCACAGAGTGTGGGTTACAGACCAGCCTCCGACCCCGGGCCCCAAGTCAGACCTCCAGGAAGAGGCCACGAGGGAGCCCTGGGAGAGGCGAGCGGGGAACCGTGGTTGGCCCTGTCTGGCCTGGGGGAGAAGCACAGTCTGAATCGAAGCCAGGCTGGAGCCATAGCACAGCGGGGAGGGCGTTCGCCTTGCATGCGGTTGACCCGGGTTCGATTCCCAGCATCCCATGGGGTCCTCCAAGCACTGCCAGGAGTAATTCCTGAGTGCAGAGCCAGGAGGAACCCCTGAGATGGCCTGATGTGACCCAAAAAGAAGAAGAATTAAAAAAAAAATATGCCCAAGCATTAAAAACACTCTCACTGACCCTCCACAAAGCAGCATTTTTGGGGAGCCCCATCCACCCTCTGGGTCGGAGCTGGCTGCACCTAAGGGTCGCAAGTGTTCCAGCGTGGCGGCTGTTCAAAGGCCACATTCCGTGGATTCCCTGAAGCGCCCAGGCCCTGGGAGGGGACGCGTCTCCTGGGAACTGCAAGAAACAGCCTCCTCGGCTGCGCCAACTCTGACGGCCCTGGAGACCGGTTGGGAGCTTTCCCATCTCGGGGTGTCTCTCCCCCACTTAGGCTCATCTGGTCAGAATCTCGGGGGCAGCCCAGGCACGCGGTGCTTTGGGCGGGAGAGGGTGGATTTAGATGGGGCTGTGGACACCGCCTGGGTGGGCCACGTGGGGAAGGGCAGTGGGACTCGAAAAGACCGGAAATGCTGGTATGCCAAGGCCACACAGCCCATCCCAGGGCCAACACAGTCAGCCACACAGTGAAAGGCACAAACAGACCCGGAGAAACACCTCCAAGTCCTACTGCGGATGAGGGCTTGGCACCCAGAGTGCATAAAGAACTTCTGCAACTCAGTGGCGACCTAAGACCCAGTTAAAAGGGACAGGCCGAGGACGGGAATCCAGACATGTCTTGGAAATGGCCAATAAGCACAGAAAGGACCATTAGCACTAGGGAACTGCAAATCGACACCACCTGGCGCCTTCGGGGGGCCAGGAGGCAGTTCAGGTGGCAGCGCATGGCCCTGGCACACTAAGGCCCCTAGCAGCACTGGGACATTTGTAATATAGGATAGTCATTGTTTTTTTTTTTTTAAGTAAAAGGAACTGGGAAGATGGCTCAAGCGACTGGGGCATGAATTCTGTATGTGGGGGCCCGGGGATTCATCCCCAGCACCACACGGTCCCCCGAACACCACCAGGAGTAGACCCTGAGCACTACCAAGTGTTTATGGCCTCCCAAAAGATATACAAGGAATGAGGAGGAGGAGGAGGAGGAGGAGGAGGAGGAGGAGGAGGAGGAGGAGGACGAGGAGGAGGAGAAGCAGAGGAGGAGGGGATCATAACTATGAAGGAAGCTGTGGAAACTGGAACTCTGCAGTCTGGCTGTGGGAAAAGTTAGGCAGTTTCTCAGAAAGTGAACTAAAGAGGAGCTGGAGCGACAGTACAGTGAGAAGGACTTTTGCCCTGCATGCAGTAGACGCAGGTTCGATCCCCGGCATCCCGTATGGTCTCCTGAGCACCCCTAAGAGTGATTCCCGAGTGCAGAGCCAGAAGTAACCCCTGAGCATCGCCAGGGATGGTCCCCAAACAAATTAAAATTATTTTTTAAATCAAAAATGTATTAAAAAATTAAAATTTGAACACCCTCAGAATACCACAGAGCGCTCAGGAATCCTCCCCCCCTCCCAATAACCCAGAGAAAGCTTCTCCAGAAAGCTTCGATTCTGCTAAGAGAGACTATCCTGAGGAGACTCTTCCTCAGGAGCCCCACAGTCAATGTTCTTTGTTTGCTTCTATGTTTGTTTTTGCTTTGGGGGCCATACCCAGCAGCACTCAGGGCTTACCCTGGCGGTGCTCAGAAGTCTAGACATGGGTGCAGGGGGATTCAACCAGGTGGGCACAGTAAGGCAGGTGCCTTCACTGCTGTTCTATCTCAGCAGCCCAGACTCAAGTCCCCCAACATATCTTTTTTCTTTTTTTTTTTTTAAGAAAAGCAGGCTCATGTGAATAGCCATAATAAAAACAACAAAAAAAACCCTCAAAGAGTTTATAGGGGCGTGCCTTTAAAACACAAACAGAAAACTTTCCTTTCAATCCTAGTCTTTCCAGATTTAAAAAAGAAAAAAAATCTCTCACATTAAAAAACAAAAACAAACCAAAAAACAAAGGCAAAGCCCCAAAACAGCCAGTGCTAGCAGCCTCCTGGGGAACGGCGGGTCCTTGCCCCAGCGGCGCCTGGCTGACTCTCCTGCCTGTGATGCTCAGTGATCCCATCCCCGTTGGTGACCTCTCGAGTTTGCTTTTCCAAGCAACATGCCCTGCATAGCTTTGTCTGAGTAGCACTGTAGCACTGTCCTCCCGTGGTTCATCGATTTGCTCGAGCGGGCACCAGTAACATCGCCATTGTGAGACTTGTTACTGTTTTTGGCATATCGAATATGCCACGGGGAGCTTGCCAGGCTTTGCCATGCTGGAGGGATACTCTCGGTAGCTTGCCGGGCTCTCCGAGAGGGATGGAGGAATCGAACCCAGGTAGGCCGTGTGCAAGGCAAACCCCTTACCCGCTGTGCTATCATATCACTCCAACCAAAAGTGAGAGTAAATCCTGTTTGTTGTGTTTTGCTTGGGGGCCACACCCAGAGGGCTCAGAACTATTCCTGGCTTTGTGCTCAGAAGACCTTGAAGTGCTGGATCTCCAACTGTTGACCTATCTCTCCGGTCAAATTGAAAATCACTTAAGTTAAATGAGCAATATAATACCACAAAGTCAAGCTAAATGAAAGTCATACTAAGTGAATAGCGTTTGACTCCAACTGCTTTTTTTTTTTTACTACTAATTGCTAAGTAAAAATATTTTAACTTTCCTCAAGCAGCAGAGATGGTTTTCAGGTACTTATTCACTAATCGATTTGATTTTTTTTTCTTTTTGGGTCACACCCAGCAATGCTCAGGGGTCACTCCTGGCTCTGCACTCAGGAATTACTCCTGGTGGTGCTTGGGGGACCATATGGGATGCCGGGGATCGAACCCAGGTCGGTCGCATGCAAGGCAAACGCCCTACCCGCTGTGCTATCGCTCTGGCCCCACTAATCATCTTAACAATACAGACAGACTTCACAGTAATCCGCTGTATGCTCAATATTACGAGCATGTCTGCAGGATAAACTCCTTGCACTGCAAGCGCAGGATCAGGGACACGTGCATCGTACATTCCGGTTGGTTCTGCCCCAACAGGCGGAGACATCACTGGGCAAACACGGGGCCTCCCAGTCCCATTTGTGGCTCCGTGGCGCCGGCCCCACAGAGATGCCTTCTGCAACATCGCCACCTGCTGCTCAGACTGGGAAATGCAGCCCTCTCTGCCCAGCCCCGGGGTCCTCACCTGGTACACTGGGGGCACCTCCCCCAACACCCAGTGTCTCAAGAGGGTCTCGCTGGAGAAAAGGGCGTGGCGAAACCACTCTTCTCCTAGAGAAACATTTGGTGCTGGACGTGCGAGGAACTTTACACACAGGAGTTTGCAATCAGCCTGACCCTCTTGACGACAAGAGGAATAGGGGAGCAGGTGGGGCGCTTGCTTTGCACGCGACCCATCCGATTCAATCCCCGGCACCCCATATGGTTCCCTGAGTGATCCCTGAAGTACAGAGTCAGGAGTAAGCCCTGAGCACCAACACGTGTGACCTAAAAACGAAACAACGAAGCACAAATTTCCTCCTGGCTCTGCCAGTTTCTATCTGTGCCAGTAACACCGGTCTCACTTCCTGGGGTCTCCACTTTCTCACCTGCAAAATGGGTATGATAGTACCAGGCTTCCAGAACTGAGGGCAGGATTGAACAAGATAATGTACTGCCTAAAGAAAGATGCTTGGGGCTTGAGCAATAGCACAGCGGGGAGGGCGTTTGCCTTGCACGCGGCTGACCCGGGTTTGATTCCCAGCATCACTCCTGAGCACCGCCAGGAGTGATTCCTGACTGCAAAGCCAGGAGTAACCCCTGTGCATTTCCTGGTGTGATCCAAAAAGGAAAAAAAAAAAAGATGCTTAAAGGCCTGAGCGATAGTACAGTGGGGAAGGCGTTTGTCTTGCACGTGGCCAACCCGGGTTCAATCCTTGGCATTCCATATGGTCCCCCGAGCACCACCAGGAGTAATTCCTGAGAGCAGAGCCAGGACTAACCCCTGAGCATCACCAGGTGTGACCCAAAAAGCCAAAAAAAAAAAAAAAAAGATGCTAAGAGACGTGAATAGGCAATTGGGAAGAGGAACCGTGAAGGTGTTTCACAGCTGTAGGCAGAGAGCTGCACCAGGCAGCAGAGCCATCCAATGCCCTTCAGATTGGCAGGGATTTGAAGGCTGCTAATTGCACATTGAGATTTGTAGAAAATGCAAATTTAAACAAGTTATCCGCCTCTGCCCATCAGATTGGCAAACAAATTAAAAGACTGATAACATCTGGTGGGAAATGAGGGGCCTCCTTCCCTCCTGGAAGCAGATGAATCTCACCAGTTCTGGAAATGACGGATCAGGGGTCAATAAAAATGGTAATGTATGTGCCCTCTGACCCGGCCAACCCACTTTCAGGAAATGGTCAAAAAGAAGTAAAATCAGCAGATGGCAGAAGAGATAACCCAGTACAATGGGATACCGAAATAGCCACTGGACAAAAGGAAACAATTATCAAATTCTACTGCAATCAGATAAGTGGCTTAAATACTGACCAGCAAGCAAGCTGGAGTGTCTCGAGTTTTCATGTTAATTTTATATCCTACTTAGCTGGATTCTTTTCTGCTTGAGATAATTTTATCACTGATTCCCTGGGGGTTTCCAGGCCTAGTGTCCGACCTTGTATAAATAGGTTTATTTATTTCCTCTTTTATCAGTTCTTACATGAGAAATTGATTTCTTCTCTCTAATTGCATGGTCTAATATCTCTAGAAAATAGCTGGATTGACAGGAGAGAATGAACAGTTTTATTGGCCCTTTTTTTTTTTTTGCTTTTTGGGTCACACCCAGCGATGCTCAGGGGTTACTCCTGGCTCATGCACTCAGGAATCACTCCTGGCGGTGCTCGGGGGGACCATATGGGATGCTGGGAATCGAACCTGGGTCGGCCATGTTGGCTGCGTGCAAGGCAGCCTTACTCGCTGTGCGATATCGCTCCAGCCCTTATTGGCCCATTTTTAAAAGTCAACAAATTACAGGACTGAAGCAATAGGCTAGCGGGGAGGGCATTTGCCTTAATGCCTTCGACCCAGGTTCGGTCCCTGGATCCCTCTGTGGTCCCCTGGGCCCACTAGAAGTGAACCCTGAGCGCAGAGCCGAGAGTAATTCTTGAGCACATCTGGATGTTCTGCCCCCCAAAAATAGTAACAAATTACAGTAAATAGAAACAATTTTGGTAAGTAAATATATAGAGAAGCTCTGGCTATGCGCAGAGTCTGTCTCTATTTTCAAACTAGAGTCGCTCCACAAAGTGTCATGAAAGAATGTAACCATTCCAACCAGGCAAGGTAGCACTGGGTGTGCATTTTATTGCCTCTTACTGAAGACGTCTTCTGAGCTGTCAACTACCAGAACTCCTTCTTGTTCTGTTGTTGTTGTTTTGTTTTGTTTTTTGGGTCACACCCTGCGATGCACAGGGACTACTCCTGGCTCATGCACTCAGGAATTACTCCTGGCGGTGCTCAGGGAACCATATGGAATGCTGGGAATTGAACCCGGGTCAACCGCGTGCAAGGCAAACGCCCTCCTCGCTGTGCTATTGCTCCAGCCCCAGAACTCCTTAATGTAAGCAATCTGATGGTGGAAGGTTTTGCAGTTTTAACTATCTAAAGCAAAAGAGATGCTGGGACGTTACAAGCATTACACCAGACAGTGCATAACCAGTTATCGGGCAAATCAATAACGTGCTCACCCAACAGTGCTCTCTTCACAGCTACACTCTAGGAAGTTCTTACTTTTTTCCCCATTTTACAACTGAGGCCACAGAGGCACCTAGAAGCCAGGAAGCCTCTATCAGATCCTCCCCCCCACCCCCAAGCTCAGAGTCTTCCCAAACCACCCTCCCCCCAGCCCCCACTTCTCTTCAGAGTCAGGAGCGGGCCAAGCAGCAGACAAGCCCCCAGCTCAGAATCACCAGCACAGACAGAGGGAAGCCTGAGGCTTGGGTTCCAGGCCACAGCAGCCCTGAGGTTTACCAAGAGGATGTCCCCTCTGGCCACATGCGGGGAGGCTTCTCCAAGCTGGCGTAGCAGATCTCAATGTGTTGGGGTCCAGGGGCAACTCTAAGGGACTGGACAAGTCGACCAGCACCTCTGTATCCCCAGGCCCAAGGCTGGGAATGTGCCCCTGATCCTAGTTCCTAAGACCCCTAAAGCCGGTGTTTCCCAGAGACCCTGGGCCAGGGAGCAGACAGAATTGCCCAAGTGAAATACTACACAGCAAGAAAAAAGGACAAACCATCACTATACACAGTGGCCCAGTTGGTGCACGTGCGCGTGCGCTCACACACACACACACACACACACTTACACACAACGGATATGGAGACAAAGAGACAGGTGCAAAGGGGAAGGCACTGAGGGCCTGACTACAGGAGAGTAAACAGGGGACACTTGCCTGAGTGGGGAGCCCTGCTCAGAGGCTTCCTGACGGACTGGGGGGAGGGGGCTGAGCAAGCTGTAGTAGGTGACAGACACATTCACCTCTGTGCTGTGACTCTGGGGACAGTGTGCTTTTCTGTGGCAAATTGGCTCCGTAAGACGAGAGACAGGGGTATGTGTGCATCCGTCATGCACGTGTTCATTCCCCGAAAGAGACAAAAGACTCTTCACAGCAGGAGACAGGCGTGACGCCAAATCCATGCTGCGTGTTTTGAGAAAGCTCAGCCCAGGCCGTGGAGGCGCAGGGGTGGGGGTGGGGAGATTTGGTGGGGGGGGAGGTCTCTACTTGCTCTTCCCAACGGCTCACTGCTGCCTGCATGTCTTATGAGCAAAAAAAGAAAAGCAATGAAGATAGTCCCACATACGAGCTGGGGTAGCCCCCTGACCCTGTCAGCTGTGGACACACAAACACACACACACACACACACACATACACATCCTCCAGGAAGATTCCCCAGAGCAATCCCATCTGCTCTGAGCCAGACCTCCCGTCTTCTTGGTTACCCCCGGGGAGGGGGAGCTCACTGCCTCCAGGCTCCCAGAATGCCCTTCCTCAGGGGCTGGGGCGATAGCACAGCGGGTAGGGCATTTGCCTTGCACGTGGCAGACCCAGCATCCCATAGGGTCCCAGGGGTGATTTCTGAGTGCAGAGCCAGGTGTGATCCCCCCAAAAAAAAACAAAACAAACAAAAGAAGAATGCCCTTCCTCCACATCTGTCCCCAGGGCACCGGTGCCCCACCCGCCAGGCCCGGGTTCTCACCTAGTGACAGGGTGCCGTGGGCCAGTCTGGGAAGCAGCTTGTCGAGCTCCCGGAAGGTGCGGAAGACGTCGGCCGAATGGGCCCGGTCCTGGGCCTGGCTCCCGGGCGTGCGGGGCACCTCCTCCACTCCGTACAGCGTCAGGTAGCCGGCCCTGGGGACCGCGGGGGGTCGGAGGGGTCAGGCGCTTCAGTGTTTGCCCCCCCAGGCCCCGGGCAGCCTCTGCCTCCTGCTCTCTGCCCGGCCGTGGAGGAAGCGAGAACAGCTGATGCTCCCATGGAGAAACCACATGTGTGGGGGACAATGACCACCAGCAAGCCAAGGGGGCAGCAGGCGGATGTGCTAGTGCCCGGGGGCACGACCAGCAGGAAGCTGGAGTGCAGGAACGGCGTGCTCAGGGGAAGGCTGGAAACTGGAGGGTGCAGAGCTGGAGTGGGTGACCAGAAGGAGGGACCAAAGGCCAAATCTCTGAGCCAGGAAGGTGTGGTAAGGGCAAGGAGCACTGTGCGATGAGCTGGGGGCACCTGGCTGCTCCTGCAGAGGGATTTAGGGAGGGCTGCCTGGAGGAGGAGGGTCAGTGCTCAGACCTGCGGGATGGGCAGGGGAAGAGGCTCCTTAGAGTGGGGGCAGGTGCAGCAGGAGTGGGCGTGGCTCCAACGGGGCGGGGAGTGAGTGGGCGTGGCCTGTGGTGGGTGGGGCCAGGGCGGGCAGCGCCGGGGCAGGCGGAGCTGGGGGAGGGTCTGGGACCCCCAGCCCCACCCCCAAGTAAACAAGCTCCCGGGCTGGGCCTCTGTGTACATCACACACACCGAGAGAAGCGAGGGAAGCGTTTCCCCACCAGGCCCAGCGCCACGGGCCCGTCCCAGGCGAGAAAGCACAGGGCTAACTGTCCATGCGGGGGTGGGCAGACCCCCAGACAGTGGCCCCCAGACGCCCCGTGCACCCCACCCCAGATCCTCCTCGGAACTGGATCCCAGGGGTGGGGGGTGTCCCCCAGGGGTAGAAACAGGATGAGAGAAGAGGGGTTGGAGGGGCTGGAGTGATAGCACAGCGGGGAGATAGTTTGCCTTGCACGCGGCAGACCCGGGTTCGAGTCCCAGCATCCCATAGGGTCCCCCGAGGACCGCCAGGAGTGATTCCTGAGTGCAGAGCCAGGAGGAACCCCTGTGCATCGCCAGGTATGACCCAAAAAAAGCAAAAAAAAAAAAAAAAAAGAGAAGGGGAGGTGGAGGGGTGGAGGGGTGGAGACCACCGGGGTCTATTCCTGCTGAGCCCCTCACCCCCACAGTGCGGGGAGGGGGCCGTTTCAATCACAAGGAAGGAAGGAAGGAAGGAAGGGATGGAGGGAGAGAGGGAGGGAGGGAGGGATGAAGAGAGGAGGGATGGAGGAAACATGGGTGGAGGAGAGGCAGACGGTCACAAGGGTGAGTCAGCAGGTGTGTGATGAGCAGGTGACTAGGTGGGTGGGTGGGTGGGTGACCTGTGGTTGGTCAGGTGAGTGGATGGACAAACAGGGACATGGGATAAATAAATAAATAAATAAATAAATAAATAAATAAGGGACAGACAAATGGCTGAAACTTCCAAGGTCCATGATCTCTGGGAAATGACCGGGCCACCCTGACTCCAGGTCCTGCCCCCACTGGGCCCCACACTCAGGCCTGGCTCCTGTGCCCTCAGGTGGAGGGAGGGCTCACGGCCCCCCCAACAAGGCAGGCGGGCGCCCCCCCCCCCAAACTTTCCGGAAAAGGCGCCGCCCACAGCCCAGACTCAGTCCCCAAACATGTTTGGTTTGGCCGGTGGAGTTTTCCTAAAACAAACTGAACCTATATTTAAACTTTGGGGGAAACTTACTCAAAATCTGGATTTCCGCCTTGTCTTGAATTGACAAAGGAGAGAACCAAGCACCCCCCCCCGCCCCGCCCCAGGGCATAGGGTCCAGTAGGGCTGAGCTGGTGGGGGTGTCCTCCTCCAAGGGGCCGCTCTGCCGGGCCCAGGGTCCCTGCTTGGTCCAGGGGCCGCTGTTCCCATCCCGCCCGCTTATGTTTCCTGCATCTCTACCAAAATTAGGCAATAGGAGGGAAACAGCCCAGGCCTTGGGCCTCGGGCCTCGGTCGGGGGAGGGGCGGGGGGCGGGGACTTCGCTTCTACATCAGGGCCATCAGGGCCATCAGGGCCAGTGGAGGCCAGCAGGCGCACATGCACACGGGGGCCTCTAGGTGGCGCTGGAAGCCAGAAAGGGAAAATGCGGCTGAGGGACCCCCCCCCCCCACGCCCCGCCTTAGTGTCTCTGAGGAGGGGACCCGGAGATGAGGCTTGAATGAGGCTTCACGAGGGGAGATGACGCACGGACCTGCAGGGAACAGCATGCCTGGCAAAGGAACAGACGTTAAAAGACTCTGGGATTTGGAAGGGCAGGCTGGGAGGCTTCCGCAGTGGCATCTCATGGTCTGGGGTCACCCCTTCTCGGTATCCAGTCACCAGCCGGCCTGTGTCCTGTCTATCTGCGGGCAGTGAATCTGAGTTTCCCGGGGAAAGAGAGGTGGGACTCGGGGACCCCACCCCCACCCCCAGAGGCTGCTGCACCATGCCTGTAACCCCATGACCTGGGCAAACCCAGCCACCACCAGCACACGGGCAGCCGGAGTCTAGGGACCGTCCCTGCATGAGCCTGAGGGGGGTCCCGAGCTGCTGGCCCCAGCCCCCACCCCCAGTGACAGGGCCAACCAGGCCAGTGGCCAGGGGCCAGTCCAGTGCTCACAGCCCCATTGGGGCTCCTGGGCACAGGGTGAGGCAGAGTGTCCCCAGGCGCTGGGCGACAGCAGTGGGGACTTGGAACCTAACATGGTCACCTTGGCGGGCACAGCCCGGGTGACCCTCCCGGGGGCCCGGTCCTTGGTCTGAAACGTCCCTCCCTTGGGGGCGCACTGGCCACTGTGGGGCACAGGGGTGGAACGGCGCTAAGTGGAGCCCGGTTCTGCCCCTCTTGGGGTGACCAGAGGCCTCGATTTTGTCCTGTGCCTCCGTTGCAGCTTCTAGACAGAACATGGAGGGTCCCCCCAACAAAAGCAGGGGGTCCCCTGGCAGTCTTCGCCCCAAGCTGCTTCCCCGCCCCCGGCCTCCCGGGTCCCCAGGGCCCTGCTGGGAGCACTCACCGGAGCAGGATGCCATAGCAGAACTCAAACAGGCCCGTCTCGTGCCAGCCGCCGCCCGCCTCCGCCGCGTCGCCCAGCAGGATGGTCCGGAGGTTGGTGTCCACGGCCTCGGTGAGCGCCTGCAGGTCCTTGTGGAGCAGCGTCCTGGGGACAGACAGGCGTGGGTGCTGTGTCCACGGGCAGCCCCGGGTCAGCTCAGGGCAGTGTGGGCCTGATTCTCCCCGTCCCCACCAGGACCCGTCCCTCCAATGGGCCACGACCACTCTCAGTGGAGAGACGAGAGATAGGACAGCGGGGAGGACACCTGCCTCACACGCAGGCAACCGAGGCTCGACCCCCGGCACCCCATAGGGTCCCCCGAACTGCCAGGAGTGATCCCTGAGCACAGAGCCAGGCGTCAGCCCCAAGCATCACTGGGTGTATCACCCACTCCAAGTAAGCATCCGTCTCAGGGATACCCGCTCTGATGGCGTCATTCTACAGAGGCAGAAACCTGGGGACAGAGATGAGAGTGCCCAGGTGGCCGGTGACCCTGCAGGCTCCCAAGCCCCGGCTGACCAGCTCCACAGGGTGGCCCTCCTCAAGCCAAGCCCCTCTGGGGGATGCACGTCCTTCCCCCATGGACTCTAACATCGCTGAGGAGGTGTCCGCAGGGTCACCCAAGGGAATCTGGCCATTTCCCATGTGTTCATTTATCCAGAGACGATTTATTCTGGAAGTGTGGTGCCAAGCTGCCCCTGCCTCGAGCCTCCGCGATGGTCAGCACTGGCCCTGCCAGGGGATGGTGAGAGGCCACAGAAGATGGTGCCCTAAGTTAAGGCCCGGCAGTCTGTGCCCAGCGGCCAGGCAGCACCCGTGTGTGACAGGGACATCTTGGGAAGGGGCCAGGGGCCGCGTGCTCCACAGTTTGGGCACCCCAGGCTTCAGAGACGGGGTCCACGGGTCCCCCCAGACCACGTGAGTGTCAGGGACTCGCGGGTGAGTCTGCAAGGATCGGATGCCAGAGAAATCCCAGAACTCCCGCATAGTGAAAGCTTTGGGGGTGTTCGAGTTGGAAAAAGAACAGCAGAGTCAGGTGGAGAATGTGTGAAGGACACCTGGGCCCTGGACAGGGCTCAGACCCACTGCTGACCACTGCACGCCCAGCTTCCACTCTGCCTCAGGACGCGCCAGCTCCCGCAAAACTCCCTGAAACCGAGTCTGGAGCTATAGCACAGCGGAGAGGGCGTTTGCCTTGCATGCGGCCAAGCCAGGTTTGATCCCCAGCATCCCATAGGGTCCTCTAAGCACCGCCAGGGGTAATTCCTGAGTGCAGAGCCAGGAGTAACCCCAAGCATTGCTGGGTGTGACCCAAAAGGTAAAGGTAAAGGTAAAGGCCCTCCCGTTGATCGTCGATTTGCTCGAGCGGGCCCAGTAACGTCTCCATTGGAGACTTTGTTGTTACTGTGTCTGGCATATCGAATACTCTCGGTAGCTTGCTGGGCTCTCCGAGAGGGGCGGAGGAATCGAACTCGGGTCGGCCATGTTGGCCGCTTGTAAGGCGAACGCCCTACCCGCTGTGCTATCGCTCCAGCCCCAAAAAGCAAAAAAAAAAAAAAAAAAAAAACTTCCCTGAAACCGTGGGAGCAGGTCCTGGAGGAAGGCGGGCTGGCCCCTGGCCTCAGCTTTAGCTGGCCTGCAAAGTCCAGCTTTCTAGAACCTTCCTGACCCCAGGAGAGAGTGCCATGCTGATCATGACTGGACCGGGGGGACCCCTGGGGTGGGCAATCGGCCTTACTCCCTTGGTCTCTCTGAAAGAGACCCCTCTCTCTGTGGGGTCCAGCTTGGTCACGGAGCAGGTGCAGACCGGGATAAGTCCCTTTATGCCCCTAAGCCTCAGTTTCCCCCTCTGTGAATTTAGGATGTAAGTGTCCTCTTGAGGCTGCGGCACAGACGGACGTGCCAGGGCAGGTGAACTCAGAGGGCGGGAGCGGACGAGGGTCTCGGCTGACTGCCCCGGGCTGGCTGCTCCCACCCCACAGGAGGGAGGAGCTTGGCCGGGTCAGTGACAGGTCGGTGACCTGGTGAAGTCACTGCCCGGAACCAGCTGTCCCCTGATGGTGGCAGCAGGGGTGGGGGGCTGCCACCTGCTCCCAGTGGGAAACCAAGACCAAGTCCGGCTGGATGCAGGGCACAGCGCAGGGGTGCAAAGCCACGAGCCCCCACCCCTTCATTTCAGACTGGGAAAGAGGCTCAAGGAGGAGGCGGCTTGCCTGACGTCACGTGGGAGGAAGGGTGCTGGCCAGGCCTGGAGCGGGGTCTGGGGCCCGCTGCCTCCTCCTGAGAATCAGCCCCCACCCATGACCCGGGGTGCTCTGTGTGTGGGGGGGGGAGGGGGCTTGGGCCCGCCGCCCACCCCTGCCCACACTCACGGCTTCAGCTTGGCCTTCTCCTCGCCGGGTTCATGATGCGGAAGCTGCACGTCGAAGATCCGCTCCATGAGGAGGAGGGCGTAGGGCTGGAAGTCCAGTCTGCTGCGCGGCTCCCACACCACCGAGTCGTAGGAGTGGGGGTCCAGGAGCACAGAGACGTACCTGCCTCCCACCAGCACCTGGGGGCCGGCAAGGACTCACGTGAGGGGCTCCCCCGGGCCCCGGCCCTGCCCCCACCCCAGCTGCAGTGGACATGGGCCGCCTGGGAGGCAGAGACCGTCCCTCAGCCCTTTCCAGCTGGAGAGCGCGGCTGAGAGGCCTCAGCCCAGGCCGCTCTAGAACCCCAGCTGAGGCCCCTCTAGAACCCCAGCTGAGGCCCCTCTAGAACCCCAGCTGAGGCTCCAGAATCCCAACAAGGGCTGCTCTAAAAGCCCCAGTTGAGGTTCTGAAACCCCAGCCGAAGACATTCTAGAACCCTAGCTGAGACCACTCTAGAACCCCAGCCCAGGCCACTCTAGAACCCCAGTCAAGGCTCTAGGGTCCCAGTCAAGGCTGCTCTAGAAACCCCCGTCAAGGCTGCTCTAGAAGCCCAGTCGAGGCTCCTAGAACCCCACTCTCTGGTTCTTGTCAGAGCTCCGGCGGCAGGAGTCAGCCCACACGTGGAAACAGGGACTGTTGTATGCCTCAGGGGTGGAGGGAAGGAAGAAGGGAGGGAGGGATAGTAAGATGAATGGATGGACCGATGGATGGAATGAATGGTGGATGGATGGATGGAGGGATGGACGGATGGATGGATGGATTGGGGTGAATGAATGGATGATGGATGGATGGGTGGGTGGGTAGATGGCTGGACAGACAGATGGGTAGGTGGGTGGATAAGTGGATGGCCAGGGATGGATGGAAGAATGGAGGGATGGGAGAACTACGCCTGGATGGATAAGGGGATGGAAGAATGGAAGGACGGAAGGACACTTAGATGGATGATGGATGGTTGGATGGATGAGTGGGTGTGTGGATAGATGGACAGAAGGGTAGACAAGTGTATGGATAGAGGGACAGATGGATGGATGGGTGGATGGATTAAGGGATGGATGGAGAAAGGATGAAGGGATAGATGTTCGCAAGGAAAGTAGGATGGATGAGTGGTGGGAAGGAGGGAAAGGTGGAGGAAATGGATGAATTTATCCTCTGTGAGGATAAATCTTCTAGACTGTAGCCACATAGATGAAACGGTGTCAGGGGATAAAGACGAGGTCACGGATTGTGGATGGTGAGTAAATGGGAGGATGAACGGACAGAAGGAGAGGAGTGGACGGGAGGAAAGGAGAGGGCACGAGCAGGGAACGTGGTGGGTGTGGCAGCAGGGGCCATGCCCAAGAGGGGAAGGAGGCACAGAGCTCAGCCGCTATCCCTGACCTCCCGTTCAGAGCCCGGAGAGTGTGTTATGCCCGCCAGGCTCTCGAGAAAGAGCCCGGTGCCCAAGAGGAAATGCTGCTGGACTGTCATGTGGGCGAGGAGGTGGAAGGACAGGACAGTGGCCGCTGGCAAGAGCCAGGACGGGCAACCGGGGGCTGGGTGGAAGCGAGTAAGGATGGAGCAAAGTTTGGGAGATGGTTAGAGGAGGCTGGCGGAGAATGGGTACAGCGACAGAAAGAGCCGTGCCAGTGGCCGGAAGCTGAAAAGGTGCCCGAAAGGTGGGTGAACGGGTCATGCTTGGTTCAAGGAACAGATGTGGGGGGGGGCTGGAGCGATAGCACAGTGGGTAGGGCGTTTGCCTTGCACGCAGCTGACCTAGGATAGATTCCCAGCATCCCATAGGGTCCCCCGAGCACTGCCAGGAGTCATTCCTGAGTGCAGAGCCAGGAGGAACCCTTGTGCATCACCGGGTGTGACCCAAAAAGAAAAAAATAATAATAAAAAAATAAAGGAATTGATGTATAACAAGCCTGAGAGAACACGCCAGCCCAGAGCACACACTTCGTATCCAGGAGGGCCAGGTTTCACCCATCACTAGATACCAGAGTGACCCCCAAGCATAAAAAAGGGCTCCTAAGCACCACTGGGAGTGTACCCCAAAATAAGCACAATAAAAATAGATGTATATGAAGCTAACAACATATTAAATATAGGGGCTGGAGCAATAGCACAGAGCCAGGAGTAACTGCTGTGCATTGCTGGCTCTGTGCCCAGGAATCGTTCCTGGTCAGCTCGGGGGACCATATGGGGACCTGGGTCAGCCCCATGGAAGGCAAGCACCTTTACCTGCTGTACTGTTTTTTTCCAGTCCTTATCTAACAGTTCTATATTTAATATTTTTTTAAGTGAAATACTTCTTTCTTTCTTTCTTTCTTTCTTTCTTTTTTTTTTTTTTGCTTTTAGTTACTCCTGGCTCTGCACTCAGGAATTACCCCTGGCGGTGCTCAGGGGACCAAATGGGATGCTGGGAACCGAACCCGGGTCGGCTGCGTGCAAGGCAAATGCCCTACCCTCTGTGCTATTGCTCCATCGCTGGGCAGCTTCGGGGCCCCGTCTCTCTCTGAGTGGCTGGGTCTGAGCGCAGATGGTGAAGGGACCCCCCCCCCCATGCTCCAGGCCCCGCCCCTCCCACTAGGCAGGTGGCACTCACCGTGAAGATGTCCCCATGCTTCTCCTTCATCCTGCTCAGGAAGCGGGCAGGGTCCTTCCCGAACTCCAGGGTGTGGCCCAGCCATGGGGCCCGGCCCACGTCCAGGGGAGGCTCGCCACGTCGCCTGCGGGGACCACAGAGCACATCACCACTGGGTAGGGCAGGAGGAGGGAGACTGCAGGACACCGGGTCCCTGTGAAGTGGGGTGGTGCTCCCTGAGACCTTTGAGCAGAGACTGGAGGCCGTGAAGGGAAGCCATATGGAGTCTGTGGCCCAATTACAGCGGGAGGGCAGAGGGGAATGGGGAGGGAGGGAGGGAGGGAGGAAAAGAGGGAGGGAAGGAGGAAGGGAGGAAGAAGGGAAGGAGGGCAGGAAAGATAAGGAAGGAAGGAAGGAAGGAAGGAAGGAAGGAAGGAAGGAAGGAAGGAAGGATGGATCTGAAGTTTGCGTGTGCAGGGGGAGGGCGAGGAGAGCGTCTCAAGCAGAGGGAGCACCAAGTGCGAAGGCCCTGGGGCAGGAGCACCCCTTGCGAGGTTCTGCAGGTGGCAGGAATCTGTGTGCAGTCCCAGAGGAAGCAGCTGGGAGGGTGGCACCCTGGACCTGAGTCCAGCTCTGAGGCCGGATACCGGGTCCACATGGCACGTATCCGGGGGCAGCAGGTCTCGGGTCAGAGCCTGGCACTTGTGGGGGCGCGGGCACCGGGGCAGAGTTTTGGGGGGAGCCACACCTGGCCGTGCTCAGGGCTGCCCCCGGCTCTGCACTCAGGAGCCTGGTGGGCTCATGGGGGTGGTGGTGGGAAACATATGGGGTGTCAGGGATCGAACCCAGGCCAACTGCCGGGCCAAGCAAACGCCTCCCTTCTCTGCTGTTGCTCAGGGCCCAGGAGTGAGATGGAATCAGGGGAGGGGAGCACCTGGGAAGCACCAGGCCCAAAGCCCACTCCTTTCCAGACGGTTCTGTGCATGGTGCTACAAGCTCAGAGGTCGCCCCTGTGTGGGTGGCGCCGTCCCACCAAGCCCACTGACCGGCTCAGGCCTGGTAACTGCCCACAGGCCCACTTCCTGCCTGTGCTCAGGAGTGATCCGGGCACTAATCAGGGGGATCTGGTGCCGGGATTCGAACCAGGGTCACAGCCAGTGGTTTTGCTCCGGCACTGTCCCTCTGGCCGGATCTGGGTTCCTGATGTACTCTCGGTGCTGCCCAAGTGGACACCGGCACCCCATGCTGCAGGTGGGGGACCGGGTGCCTCAACAGGGCCTGACGCTCTCCCGAAACCTACGGGCCGGCCCGAGTCTCTCTGCCCTCCCCATCCTGGCGTCCTGCAGGCAGCTGGCATCTTTCTCCAGAAATGTGCCCAGGAGGAGCAGACAAAGACAGGAAGTCAGGGGCTGGGAGCCCGAGCCCGTGGGGGCAGGCGGTCCCACCGCCCCCAGGGACATAGTGCACAGTGACTCGGCCGCGGCTGCCAGCTGGAGTGGGGGGACCCCGCGTCTCGACCTCACTCTCACTACTTCAGAGGCACTGTCAGGCCCCGCAGGGGCTCAGGGGAGGAGGCCTGGACCCCCAGCCTAGCCCCAACGCCTGTCCACATGCCAGTCACCTCTCTCCTGCATCCCCGGGGGCTGCCCCCCTGGGCGGGGCCTCCCAGACCGTCCCCTCCGGACCCCGTGGCCAGCTCCACTTGGTGCTTGCTCGTCTCCACAGGTCAGCGTCCAGGGTGAGAATGGCCACCAGCTGCCTCTGGGAGTTCAGCTCCTCCTGTGGAATGGGGCCCTGCTGGGGTCAGGGAACGCTCAGAACTGGGCACACAGTAGGTGCTTAATAAACGCAGGGCACAGGAGAGAACGCAGCGTGCTCCTGCGCCCACGGTGCTCGCTGAGTGGCTGATGGGGACGAGGGGGAAGAGTGTGGGTGAAGAGCCCGGGCGAGCTGGGCCACGGTCAAGAGCGTCCAGAGCGACCAGCCGGTGCCAGGTCGGCTTCTCTCTCCAGAAACTTCAACTCAACCCAGGGGCTCCAGGAGGACTTAATGGGGGTTGGGGGGAGGTGGACAAAAAGGGGGCAATTAGCAGGGAGCCTGGGGGGGGGGGCTGTTCGGGTCACTTAACCCTTTCTTTCCTGGGGCCCGCCTAGGGGCAGTCTGCCGGGAACCTGGGGTGACCCAGAACCCGCCACCTCCCCAGCGGTGACCTCCGAGCCTCCGCCACACCTCCCCTCCGCCTCCCACTCGGAAGTCCTTCACCCTAGTTTTTGTGTTTCTGTTTTTATGACCTGCAGATCCAGAGAATCGTTTCTCACTAACAATATTAAGAAATAGAAATAACAGTGGGGGCTGGAGCGCTTGTGACAGGGAGGGCGTTTGCCTTGCACGCGGCCGACCCAAGTTCGATTCCCAGCATCCCATAGGGTCCCCTGAGCACCGCCAGGAGTAATTCCTAAGTGCGGAGCCAGGAGTACACCCTGTGCATCACTGGGTGTAACCCAAAAGAAAGAAAAAAAAGAGCAGTGGTAGGCAGAGAGAGAGGGCAGCAGGGAGATTGCCTTGCATGTGGACAACCTGTGTTCGATCCCAGCATCCCGTGTGGTCCCCTGCGCCCCGCCAGGAGTGATTCCTCAGCACAGAGCCAGGGCTAAGCCGGGTGTGCTACCTCCATTCTCCCCACCTCTCCCCCCGGAAAAAAAAAAAAAGCAAATCCAGTGGCACCAGAAGAGCCTCCAACAGGACAGCCCCTGCTGGAAGGCCACAGGGGTGGTCGGTCGGATGCGGAGAGGCTGAGTCGCAGCTGGCCTGAGGCTGGGTCCGTGCCACTGGGTCTCCCCATCCCCCACAGGCAGCTGGGACTCTGCATTATGTGTGAGGGTGGATGGAACTCCGGCCGTCACACCCCAGAGCCATCCATCCGGGACTGGGTTCTGCCTCCGGCAAACAAGTGATTGATGGGCTCAATGGTGCCGCTTAGGAACAGATTTATTCGTCGCTGTGCTGTTTCCGTCTGCCGTCTTGGGAGGGCCCAGATCTGGCGGTGCCTGGGGGCTGCTCCCAGCTCCGTGCTCAGGAGTCACTCGCGGGGTGCTCCGGGGACATTGCCTCCCCCCCTCCTCCGCCCCGCCCTTCCGGAAGGACCCTCCAGCCGAGCTCCATGGTTTATTCTCCTCACACCGTGTGGTTGCCAGACCTCGAGGTAGGGAGCGCAGTGGGGGACGTGGAGGCTGAGAAGCCCTTCTGACTCGAGTCACTGTTTCCCACAGCCCAGCCCTGCTGCCCAGGCTGGCCCGGACAAGGGGCTGCGCCCCTCTGAGCCTCAGTCTCCTTCCGGTCAGGGGTGGGCAACACCATGACCCCTGCCAGGGCGGCAGAGAAAGAGATCGGTGGCCAGCGCCAGCTCTGTGGAACCCTCACATACACAGTGCACCCCAATATCCACATGCGGATCCTCAGACTCTGCCCGCGGTAAACAAACGGGGACTGACTCTGGAAGAGAAGCAACCCGTCTGGGGGGAGGGCAGGGATTAGCTGAAACCAGGTGAAAGAGTCCTTCCTTCTTTTTTTGTTTGGTTTTGTTTGTTTTGAGATCACACCCAGCAATGCTCAGGGCTCACCCCTGGCTTGGTGCTCAGGGGTCACTGCAGATGAGCCTGGGGGCGCAGGGGGGACCAGATGGGGCGCTGGGGACAGAACCCGGGTCGGCCGTGTGCAAGGCAAGAGACTAACTGCTGTACTGTCGCTCTAGCCCTAGTGAGTGTCCTTCTTTTTTTATAAGTGTCCGTCCCTCTTTTTTTTTTTTTGTGCTTGTTTGTTTTTTGGGTCACACCCAGCGGTGCACAGGGGTTCCTCCTGGCTCTGCACTCAGGAATGACTCCTGGCGGTGCTTGGGGGACCACATGGGATGCCGGGAATCGAACCCAGGTCAGCCATGTGCAAGGCAAATGCCCGTCCCGCTATGCTATTGCTCCAGCCCCAGTGTCCTTCCTTTTAACCCAGTGATGATTCGGACCAAGTGTCCCTTTCTGAAGATGGGGAAACTTCCTGCTCAACTTGCTGGCTGCAAGGCAACAGGCATTTCCAGCCACTCAGAAATGCTGCGCTCGGAGCCCCCTGGAATCTGTGTCTTTGAGGGTGGCTCCATCCACCCCAAAGAAAAGCAGAGAGTGTCAGACGTCTGCGGAGCATCACAGGAAGGGGTAAAAACTCTGGAAACAACCTAAAAATTCACCAACAGTGACAGGAAGAAAGAGAGAGTGGGAAGTCTGCGTTTATTCACAGAGAATACTGCAGACACAGGGAGGGCGGCCCACCCTGCGGGCGGGGAGGAGCGGCCAGCCAGACTCTGCCTCAGCACCCCAAAAACCCTGGCAAGCTGCGAGGAATCATTCATTCCCTCAGAGGGCAGCCCATCTGTCCTCCTCATCTCTGTCCTCCCGGGCAAATGCCGGAGTACATGGTTTTACAATCAACCCGAAAAGATGCCCAAGGTTGCAAATATAATGAGCTCATTACTTGGAAAGTCAACGGAATGTTTAAAAGTAAAAGGTTCCCTGTAGATCTGGAATGTCACACACACGCCCATACAGAGAGAGAGAGAGAGAGAGAGAGAGAGAGAGAGAGAGAGAGACAGAGAGAGAAAGAGAGAGAGAAAGAGAGAGAGAGAGAGACAGAGAGAGACAGAGAGAGACAGAGAGAGACAGAGAGAGAGAGAGAGAGAGAGAGACTGGTGCTAGCTACATGCTATGTCCTACAATATAATTTTAAAAACAGCTTGGGAGCTGGAGACAGAGAGACTGGAGGAGATGTCTCCGTGGACCGGTCCGAACATTAAGGGAAAAACAGATGAAACGCAAATAAATCCTGGAGTTTGGCTAACAGGCCCAGACTAAAAAGGTTTCTTCATTTGGACAAATGTACCATGACGACGGTTAACATTTCTAGCACAGACAGGGTGAGGGCTGCTGGAGAGTGTCTCTGTGCTGATCCCTCCCCATAAACATCACCCCAGTCCAAAATGCAAAATGGGCTTTAAAAAAGAAATCTTGGGGTCCGAGTGATAGCACAGCGGGGAGGGCGTTTGCCGTATACACGGCCAACCCGGGCTCGGGCCCAGCATCCCATAGGGTCCCCCAAACACCTCCAGGAGTAATTCCTGAGTTCAGAGCCAAGAGTAACCCCTGAGTATCGCGGGTTTGACCCAAAAAGCCAAAAAGAGAGAGAGAGAGAGAGAGAGAGAGAGAGAGAGAGAGAGAGAGAGAGAGAGAGAGAGAGAGAGAGAAAGAAAAGAAAGGGAAACTCGACTGCTTCCCACACTGCGCAGGAAAGGTGGAGAAGGGCCGGGCGCTTGGCCTCGGTCTATAGTGATATAAACATTCACTCAGTCGGTGTCAAAGGCATCCAGTTGTCCGGGTGCGATTCAAACCCGTGTCCCAGACGTTTGGTAAAAGAAAAGGCAACGGTGCCGGGAGTGTGGGTCTTACATTTTTCTCCTGAATCCCACCTTCTCTGTGGACACTGGAGAAACCCTTCGGGGTCTTGGGCCCAGACCTCTGGATCTGGGGACCTCGCGAGGGACCCCAGCGGGGAGGGGCGCCTTTCCCAGCCTCAGTTTCTCTCGGGGCGCTGGTGGAGGCCCTCGGGGTGGACCCCCGGGCAAGCGCCTCCGGGTCTTCTGTCCTACCCCCCACCCACGCCGTCCGTCTCTCCCGCCCCTGGGATGGGCAGGGGCCCCCGGAGTCGGGTCGAGTGCGGGGTCCCGGCTCTGGGCACCCGCCGGCCGGCCGGACCCCGCGCACTCGGGGATGCGCGCGGGGCGCGCGGGGACACTCACCGCCAGCGCCGGCGGCGCAGAAGCAGCCGCGCGAGCAGCAGGAGCGCGAGCAGGAGGACCAGGACGCCGAGGACCAGCGCGCGCGCCATGGCCGGGCGGGCGCGAGTGGGCAGCGGGCGGCCGGCGGCGCGTCCAGGTGCCGCCCCCCCACGTCCCCGCCCCGACGGCGCCGCGGGCGGGGGCGGGGCGCGCGCGGGACCCTCGCGGGGCCGGGGCCGGGGAGGGGCGCGCGGGGAGGGACGCGCAACCCGGGCCCGCCCAGCACGGCCTCCCGCTCCGCCGGGCCGGAGAGGAAGGGTCGCGCCCACCGGTGCCCAGGGCGCGATGCTGCGGGGTCCGGCCCCGGGTCCGGTGGCCTCATTCCAGGCTGGAGCCCAGTCCCGCTCCCGCTCACCGGCAGGCTCTTTATCTTGCAGGGAAACTGCACTTCCCTTTCGGGGTCCGGGGTGCGGGGTCTTTATCTTGCAGGGAAGCTGCACTTCCCTTTCGGGGTGGGAAGGGGGTAGGGAGGTAGGGGGTGGGCCCCGGGCGCCAGCGGCCTGAAGGGAAGCATGGGCAGTTTGGGTTCTGCCCAGCAGCCTTCTCCTGGGGTCCTCAGGCTTCTCCAGGCAGAAGAGGACTCTCCCCTAGTTCCCCCCTCACGCCTGTCACCGGGCCTTTGCACAAGCTGCATCTGCTCTTGGCTGGGCGAATGGCCCAGGGTTCCTTCCATCCTCACCTCCCTCTGCTGCTGTTTAACTGGGATCCCCTCCAGAAAGCCTCCCTGACCACCTGTTATCCCACCCCACACGCTGTAACCTTCATCTGTTGTCCCTGACATCTCCCTTCCCCCATCAGCAAGCCAGTGATCTGCCCCAATAACGGCTGGCAGGGCAGTTGGATAAATCCTTGCCGGATTCAGAACATGGGGAAGCGAAAGGAGTTTCCTGAACCTCGTGTTTATTTTTCCAATTTATGCACCGGTGAAGCCAACAGTCCCAAAAAGGCTGCGGGCCGGGCCTGGAGGGTTTTCTCCAAATTTGGGGAGCGCCTCAGGGCAGCCTCCTCACAGTGGGGGTTCACCGCTCTGAATGTATTGAATGTCGTAACCCCAGGTCAGTCTGTCCAACCGCCCCAGCCGCAGGGACCCCCAGGGGACAGGACAGAGGAGAGAGGACAGTGACCCCATCCAGGTGACACGCGCAACTGATTGAGACCCTGCGGGCTTTAGTCCAGCCTCTGCTCCCCTCTGATGACTGGAGAAATAGCTTCCTCCTGTCAGGGTGCTGGTGAGGACTGAGTTAGATGATGAGAGTATGAAATTACCCTGCAGGGTGCCCGGCACATAGTAGGTGCTCAATAAATGCTAGCTTTTCTAGTCCAATGCCTTGGAGTCCAACCCTTCCCCCTTGGCATGTTCCTCTCTCCCCTCCAGCCCAGGGCAAAGGTCACTCCCCAGGGACACCAGAATAGAGGACAACTGGGTGCTATGGGCCTATGGCCCAGCTCATAGGACCCCAGTGTCCTTATGGGAAGATAGGAAGGTGGGAAGATCCTGTCCCATCCCGTCCCAGGCCGCTGTGGGTCTGAGCTCACCAGGGAACGCCACCTTTTAGGGAATTGTCCTCTGGATGTCGGCTGGGACCCCTGAAGAGTGATTTTGTTTTCCTTCCCTATCTCCTCTTCCTCCTCTTCAGTGTGGGAGGTTGTCCGTGGGGTGGTTCTAGAGAAACCAAGGAAACTCGCCAAGCCCCAAACCAGAGTGTCGGTGCAGCCCTGCCTGGGATAGCTACCTCCCGACGCCTGGCTGGAAGCGGTAATCAGATGTCTGCGCCGTTCAGAGGCGCCGTGAGTCAGATTTTCTCTTCCACGCAGCCAAAAACATTCCTGGCGCAGACCTTCCCGAGGGGGGACGGCGTGAGTAATCGCCCGTCCCGAGCCGAGCCCGACACCGGCTCCTGAGGAACCATTGAAATTGTTACTTCATCGTATTATTTTTACTTTTATTACTGCATTATCGGGCGAAGAGAACGTCCAAGTCTCGGGCTGCAGTATCCTGCAGGAACAGGCAGGCCCGGCGGGCAGCGGAAATTCCAAAGCCGGCCCTGAGCACTGACCAGGCCTTGCTCAGGACAGGAACACTCGGGCTTCATGAAGAAGAAGAGGGGCTGGGAGAGGGTTCAGGGGGCGCAGCTGACCCAGGTTCAATACCCAGCACTGCATAGAGTATCTGAGCACCGCCAGGAGTGACCCCTGAGCACAGGGCAAGGAGTAAATCCTGAGCACCGCCAGGAGTCAACCTGAGCACAGAGCAAGGAGTAAGTCCTGAGCATGCCAGGAATGACCCCTGAACAGAGCAAGGAGTAAATCCTGAGAGCACCGCCAGGAGTGACCCTGAGCACAGAGCAAGGAGTAAATCCTGAGCACAGCCAGGAGTGACCCTTGAGCACAGGGCAAGGAGTAAATCCTAAGCCCGCCAGGTGTGAACCCTGAACAGAGCAAGGAGTTTAAATCCTGAGCGCTACTGGATGTGACCCCTGAGCACTGCCAGGTTTGGCCCCGAAACATAAAAGAAGGTGAGAGGCAGTTACCCACCTCAGGGCTCCTCCAGTCCAGGTAGAAGGGCTGGAACACCCCCGGGCTTGAGGGTTGAGTTCACAGCCCAGCGTCGCCACTTCTTGCTGCCGCACCTAAGGGCCCTGGACAGTCCTTTAAGTCCCAACTGACTGCTCTGGCGCATGCGCAGTGGCGCATGACTCGACAGCGAGGTGGGCTGGGCACCCGCAGGATTCCAGCACCCCACATGCATCAGCGCCTCTATGCCAGAACTAAGCCCCCATGTCAGGCAGACCCTCAGGGAATTGTTGTCTGTTCCTCTGGGGGCTCCCCACAAGTGACGAGCCAGTGGACATCATCCCCTAGGGAGTTTCCCTGCCTCAGGACCTCAGTCAGGTCAGCACGCCAGCCACCCAGCCTTCACTGCCCCCGCCCCATGCCCACTCTGCCAGGGACCAGCTCTGGCTCCATTCTGCCTCCTAGAAGCCCCAATGCGGGTACCAGGAGGGGAACCGCCTTCGGGGTGAGACCAGAGGGTCAGGGAGGAAGTTGGGCTTTCATTTTTCTTTGGGGGATAAGGCAGGTCCCATGTAGTGTTCAGAAGATCTGGAGCGCGCGCGCGCACACACACACACACACACACACACACACACACATGCAGTGACTCTCAGAGTCAGGCTGAGACCCTGCTGTGAATTGGCAGTGATGCTTGTGGGTCACCCGCAGTGCTAGGGGAACCCCCCTGTGGTATTCGGGGGACCACATGGTGCTGGGGGTCGAATAGGCATGCTTTCACCATGCTTGTTCGGGTTTTAAGTATTTTCAAAATATTTAAAATAGTTTGGGCTGAAGCGATAGCACAGCGGGTAGGGCGTTTTTGCCTAGCATGCGGCTGACTCGGGTTCGATTCCTCAACCTTCTCGGAGGGCCCTGGGAGTATCCCGCCCACACGGCAGAGCCTGGCAAGCTCATCATGGCATATTCGATATGCCAAAAAACAGTAACAACAAGTCTCACAATGGAGACGTTACTGGTGCCTGTTCGAGCAAATCAACGAACAACGGGAGGACAGTGCTACAGTGCTAAAATATTTCAAAAGGGTCCGAGAAATATTACTGCGGGGTGGGTGCTTGCCCTGCACACAGCTGACCCAGGTTTGATCCCCGGCATCCCACAGGATCCCCTGAGCACCACCAGGAGGGATCCCTGAGCATAGAGCCAGGAGCCAGCCCTGAGCACAGCTGGGTATGACCCCAAATCTATGAACAACGGGATGGCAGTGATACAGTGAAATATTTTCATAATGATACCCGCAGCTTTGAGGTCATCCAGACCATTTGCAATGCTTCTTCACACTGACTTGTTCATCCTTAATTTATGTCCCTTTCCTTGATAATTCTAGTTGCTGCTGCAGTGACCGCGACTGGGGACTCTCAAGATTCTCTGAGGTCGTGGGGGAGGGGGGTGGACTCCACGTGGCAGGGAGCACTTCGAGAGGGAGAGGGACTCTGGCTGGCACACTGTGAAGGTAGCATTGTTTCGGTGGTGGCGCGCACCATCTGCTCGCCAGGGGGCGCTCTCGGCGGTGGTGCCCGCCCCGCCTGCAGACGCTGCTGGCAGCACCCACCTGCCTGTTCAGGGGCACGGTTCCTGGCCTCAGTGCCCACATCCACGAGGGGCCCTCACCTTTGGTTGTGTTCAAACATACCTGTGGCTCTAGAAAGGCTCAGGGCACTGGGGACCAGAGGGTGGCACTGCCAGGGTGGTGCTGGGTACTGGTGGTGGCTTCGGGCATCGAACTCCCAGCCTGTGCTCGAGAGACCGCTGGCCTGCCCCCACGGAGGTTTCCCCTGAGCAAGGCCTCCGGCCACTCCTGAGCACAGGGACAGGCTCTGAACTCCGCTGGGTGTGACCCCAAATCCCACCCACCCAAAGAAAGACACACCGGACTGTCTCGGGCTGTTTGCCCGGAAACCACCATTCACTCTCCCGTTTGGTTTATCCAATCTCTTACAAGGAAGTACATAGCCCCCAGGAGGCCGCCAAGGTGGGGAGAGGCATACAAGAGATTTCTGGGGGGATGCCAGGGAAGAGAGTGAGGAGGGAGTGGAGGGGGTTGGGGGAACGGGGAGGGAGGAAGGGAGGGAGGGAGGGGAGACTGAACCTCTAAGGAAGATCAGCACGTCCAGAGGGACCCCCATCTGCGAGGGGCTGGCCCGAGGGCCCTGCCTCCCCTCGGGTGTCATCAGAGCAGCGTTGGAGGGGGTCTGGCTCCCCTGCAGTAGAGGCAGCCTCTGCAGAGAGAGGCACTAGGGAGAAGCCGGCAGCACATGCCTCCGCAGGCACCAGCCACGGGTCCTTCCACGCCCAGACGCAGAGCCAGGCTGAGAGGTGGAGGAAAAAGAGCAGCGCCGTCGCGTCTCTGCCGGGTCTTGGTGCTGGAGGGCACTAGGTCCCAGGCAAGCACAAGGAGTGTGTGAAGTGAGCCGGCTGGCAGGGAGGCAGTAGGGAGGGGTGGGGACAGGGGAAAACTGGGGCGCTGCCCCGGCCAAAGGGGGTGCTCAGTGCAGCCCACAGGGCTGCGTGC